AGAAGCTTCTTACAATCAAAAGATAGTATCAAGAGGAATATTTTTATTGATTTACTTCCTCATTTTTGTTGAGCCTGCGATTAACAGAAAAAGTAGGCGAGACACTGGGTTCCGTGGAACCCTTACGAATTTTTGCCATAATAGCCACACAATAAACATGTGGATTCTTGTTCATTTAAAGCTACTAGTGTTAAATCGAGAGGTAAACTCTTAAAAATTTTAAAACTATTTTTAGATAATACATACATTTTTGTACCTTCAGTATGCTTTATAGATCAAAATTTTGGGTACTAACAATTATTTTATTCAAAGCAATACTTATTCAGGAGTTATGTTTTTTGTCAGATTACAGTTGCCAGAAATTTATGCTTTCTCTTATAATAATTCATTTTTCTTTCAGATGACTTTTTTGTGCTTAGAAATCAGCTTTCAGTTAAATGCATGCAATGTCCTTGAGAAATGACCTTTACTCTTTAATTCTTTAATGAGATCATAGATAAATGTATATCAAGCATATTGAACTATGTATGCAAAGCTAGTGACTGAATCTTCTTTTACTTAGTGGTAAATGTAAAAACAAAAAAACAAAAAAAAACATAAAAAGTAGTGTACGGTAAGCTATGTATATATTGCCAATGATTGATTATGTTCTTGTGATTTGAATTTCAACTGGATAGACATGTATTTTTATTTGTATCCATCTGATGAGTTAAGCCTTTTTCAACTGATTTTTATAGTTTGTTCTTATGTTGTACTGTTACACCACTGTCCCAGATTAGGGGAGGGTTGAGCGCTCACAAATATGTTTAACCCTGCCACATTCTTTATGTGCCTGTCCCAAGTCAGGAGCCTGTAGTTCAGTGGTTGTTGCTGGTTCTTGTCTGTCATATTTGTTTTTCGTAAATTGGTTTGTTATAAATTAGGCCGTTAGTTTTCCAATTGAATTGTTTCATATTTTTCATGTTGTGACCTTTTATTGCTGACCATACGGTATGGGTTTTTCTCATTGTTGAAGGCCGTATGGTTGCCTATAATTGCTAAGATCAACTTCATTTGAACTTTGGTGGATAGTTGTCTCATTGGCAATCATACCACATCTCCTTATTTTTATATAACCTATTTCAGTCAGTTTTCAAATATGTTTTCACATGTGAAATAACTTGAATCCTGCATTCTATTTGAAAAGCACAATTTGAAGGATATTATGGATTAAATATTTTATATTTGAATTGTTTTATCTAGCACACACATGATAAAAAAAAAATTAACAAGATTAACATTGTCACATTGTTTTCATTATTGGACATGTAAGAAGGATGAAGATGTCAAGGGCCTGATAATGTTTTTCGTTTTACTTGCCCTGAACATGCATGAAATATTTGCCACTGGAAGAAAATCAAACAACAATCAATCAATGTATTTTGCATGATAATGTAGATAAAAAAAAGGTAGAAATGAAATTTGAATTCAAATCGTTGGATAGGCTCACTGTTAAACCTATAATTCAGGAAAAAGGAACGAAGCTTTGTTCTTAAGAAAAAGTAGGCATTGGTCTAGTGGATTAAGGAATTCCAGTTTTTCTGCTGAAGGTCAGTGGTTCTCTCCAGAGACTTCCGTTTCCTCCACTAATAAAAACTGGCCGCTGCAAAATAGCCAATAGTGCTGAAAGTGGCGTTAAACACCAACAATCAATCAATCTAATGGACTATTATTTTTGGCTGAAATCTCATTATTTCCTGATTGTTTGTCTGGTAAAAAACACAAGAAGTCACAGAGAGGCAAGTTGGATTGATCTCTGAACTTTAGGAAATCATAGGGAAATTTACCACATTTGCTCTGTTTCGAATAAAATATCAAATGAGTTTAATTTATTGTCGGAAAGATTAGTATTAATACACCATAAGCTCACATTGAACTTGTGAACCGACATAAAACTTTCAAGCACACAATCATGTACAAGGGATACAACACATACATGTATATAAATCATACAAATCATATATGAAACAGAAAAAGAAAATATAAAACACCCAAAGCACATTTAGATAGGATGGGATAATGTATATTTAGATGTGTAGATATTCTGTTTAAAAACTGCATGAAAAAACATATATTTTCCAAATTTCATAAATCAACTAATTTATTTGTCTATGTAGACATGGTAGAGATATGAGATTATTATTTTCTTTATTTATTAATTTGTGAAATTAATTTCCTTCTTCCTAACCAGAACATAGTAATCCATTTGTTGACAAAAAACTTCCTGTAAATTTCAAAAATGTATAAACTTTTTATGTCATCATGCTATTATTGGTTGGCCTGGCTTATCAAGTTTTCTTTTAATTCTAACTGGAAATTTTCATCAGTGTAATATAGATCTCAAGCAATTTTGTATTAAAATAGAACAATGACTTCAGAAGTTTACAAATATGTATTTTTAGAGTATTTTATATAATCATCTGCTAAGTACCATCAAATCAAGGAAATATTAAATCATAAATACACCCATGCTTTAACTTAAGTACCTCATTTCAATGACTCAAATTAATGAACTTTACTAAGTTTATCATAAGTAACAATAAAGTACTTGGGATGTATACTCAGTGTAAAGTGTACATACCACAAATCATTATTTGATCTCAAGTTTATTTCACAGATATTTATTTCCAACTTATTTTTAAATTTTGCCTCAACAATCTTGGGAAAATATATTGGATTACCTTCAGGATTTATATGGATTTGCCACAGCCAGATCTCAGTAACTAGTAGGGTGATAATCTTGTACCTTTTTCTGTATGTACATCTAAGAGAGACTAAACTTTGTGTAGCAAGAAGGTTCTGTTACCTATATTTCATGGTTTAATTACATTGGGTTCATATCTTTGTAACAATAGGTAGTAAAATCATCTTAATTTGTTTAGATATTCATAACTAAGTAGGTCCTGGCAAAAAGAAGTTTCAGTGACCCACATTTCAAGCGGCGTTGACTTAAGTTAATTGTTACGTCTGAATTCATACCTCTCTGACTATGAGAAGTAGGATCAACTAAAATTGTGAAAATTTCATTTTAAGGGAGTAGAAGGTTGGCATTCAGGCATAATCTCCATGATATGCTTTGTAGACTTTGGTTAAGTGTTACATACAAGTACATATATATAAGGAAAAAGATCATCTAAACTTGTGTAACTATCACTGACCACTCATATGTACCCAGGTTGTACCATAGCAGTAGAAGTATCTTTGTCTCAAGGGACCTCAATGAGACCATTATGTGGTAGAAGTAGTCATAACATGCTTAGATTTGTTATTCCTTTATTTATTCATGGTTTAAGACTTTGTATCAGATAAAAATGCAATGAAAAATATTTCTCCATAGAGGTGACCCATGAATTTCATGAAAATGGAATCAATTAATACAAATATTTAAGGTACAGGTAAAATAAAATTGAGAATGGAAATTGGGAATGTGTCAAAGAGACAACAACCCAACCATAGAACAGACAACAGCAGAAGGTCACCAACAGGTCTTCAATGCAACGAGAAATTCCCGCACCCGGAGGCGTCCTTCAGCTGGCCCCTAAACAAATATATATACTAGTTCAGTGATAATGAACGCCATACTAAACTCCAAATTGTACACAAGAAACTAAAATTAAAAATAATACAAGACTAACAAAGGCTAGAGGCTTGCCTATAACATGTAAAGCTTAAAATCACTCAGTCTAAAAAAGTTTTGAATAAATTAGCAGGGGCTATCAAGGATCTGGCATCAAAGTAAATTCCCCCAAGTGACAAAAATATATTGAGATATGACATTTGATAACCATTGTTGAGGTTCCTGACTTAGGATAGACACTTAAACTCATTTTTCAATCTGAACTCTCCCCTATTAAATTTATTCAATGTAATAAAATGCATACAATAATGAACAATTAAAATCATCAATGGAAAAGCACTTGACATCCATCTTGGCAAGCCAAGGGTTACGATCTAGTCCCCTTCTCTTCACTTGAAGTGAAGATGATTGACACCATGATTACAGTATAAGAGGAAACAAAAACACAAGTACAAGAAAATAATAATAACATATACAAAGAATTTTGGAGTTAATGAAACACGCTCAAAGTACTTAATGTGCATTCATTATTAGACTTTCATTTGTAAATTTTTTACTTTGATCCTACTGCCTAATATTTGTCTAGATCATGGACAGAACTTGACACTGGAAAATATTAGGCAATGACATCACGTATCAGTGCAGCAATGTCATATCTTCATGTCCATCTGCATCAATTTATCAATTTATCAATTGAGTTCACGCGACTTCATTCATACAATCGAACAACAAAGATAATTTTTTGTACGTGTTAAAGTAGTTTTACTAACCAATTCATTTAATTTCATATTTTCAACCATAAAAGCATATTGCTAAGACAAATTGCTGATAAAAAGAATAATGAAATTTAATTTTTTGATACAGACTTCATCAGCTCGAATATAAGCTCGCACTAGTGGGCTCACTCAATATTCTTGCTAATAAAGTCAGTATCAAAAACAAAAATGCCATTATTCTTTATGTATTTCGTGGGTATAGGTAAACCACAATTTAAATGTTTAACCAAATTTAAATTTGTAATAGGCTTATGTGCAGACTTTGACAAAACCATGAAATCAAATATCCACAAATATATAATTTTTCCTCAAACCTTGAAAATTGGTGCCAATGTAAATAACTGAATCCACTAAAGCATACTGCTGAAATGAAAATATGCATTCCTACATTCTTATATCTGTTGCTGTACTTCAACGAAGATTCCAAAGGCAAGACATAAACATCTCAGGATTACACAATCTGGTGCAATTTTGTAAAGAAATTTAATGCAGAAAAAATTGAAAGTCTTGTTTAAAAATATGAATAAATGAATTAATTTTCATTCAAAACAAATACAGACAAAATGATGGAACAACACCATTTTAACTTTAATATTTGTATTTTTCAGGAACTTTAAGCAGATGTTTAGAAAGTTTAGAAAGGATAGATAAAGACCATGCAAATGAAAACTCAACAAGTGAAGCTCTAAAACAGGTACATTTATGTATTTCAATGTATTTACCGGATTTCCTTAAAGAGGTATTTTCATAACAATATATAGATTTGGATTTTGTGAACCACTTAAAATCATTATAATATCATGTTCATAGGATCTTCCTTTTATAATAATCTGTTCAGAAAACCTGTAGTATTGAGTTGCTTAAGTCTGCTTGTTACATCTTTCCTTCACAAAAGAGTTCCTAAGTTACCATGATATGTATATATCTTATCACTATTTTAGAATCTTTGACACTTGACCAAGATATTGCAACACTTGAACTATTGTAGTCATATAACACTTTTGCATTTTAGCGTCAGACATTTTCACATATGACATTAAAATTTAACTGGGCAGTCTGTGATGGTCAGTAATGCCGGACAAATTGCGATAAGGTGTAAACAGAAGTTCATCTGTTCTTCTGGGTGTTTTTTAGTTGGATAGATGAATCATGATACAGCAAAACTGTAATACTTGGAATTTTGTTAGATATTATGAAGTATGTCCTGGTATATCATTATTTTTTCTTTTAGATAGTGAATGCTGCCTACCAAGTAGAAATCAGTTTACAGTCAAGTTCTTCCTTTGTTAGAACATTATTTGAGCGTATGAAACAGGTAGGAATGATCAGTCACTCTAAAAAAAGATGAAATAAACATGAATGGCGAACTTTAAATGACAAGATTTGTATGTAACAAATGAAGAAAATGTTGATGTCAATCTTGAGCTCACTTGGGTTCTTTGTGAACATAGTCACCAAATATTTGTGTGAATGAACAGTCTTCACAGTAAACTTTTGCAACCACAAAAAATCTTGTGATTAAAATCAGTCATAAGCTATACTTGAAATATAACAAAAATTTTTACTCATAAGATTTTTGTCGAGCCTTCGACTTTAGTCGAAAAAGCGAGACATAGCGATCCTACATTCCGTCAGCGTCATCGTTGTTGTCGTCGGCGGCGTCCACAAATATTCACTCTGTGGTTAAAGTTTTTAAAATTTTAATAACTTTCTTAAACTATCCTGGATTTCTACCAAACTTGGACAGAAGCTTGTTTATGATCATAAGATAGTATCCAGAGGTAAATTTTGTAAAAATAAAATTCCATTTTTTCCGTATTTTATTTATAAATGGACTTAGTTTTTCTGCCGGGAAATATTACATTCACTCTGTGGTTAAAGTTTTAAAAATTTTAATAACTTTCTTAAACTATCCTGGGTTTGTACCAAACTTGGACAGAAGCTTGTTTATGATCATAAGATAGTATCCAGAAGTAAATTTTGTAAAAAAATAAATCCATTTTTTCCTTATTTTATTTTTAAATGGACTTAGATTTTCTGCCAGGAAACAACACATTCACTCTGTGGTTAAAGTTTTTAAAATTTTAATAACTTTCTTATACTATTTTGGATTTGTACCAAACTTGGACAGACAATGACAGAAGCTTGTTTATGATCAAATACTAGTATCTAGAAGGAAATTTTGTTTTCTTCCAGTTAACATTACATTCAGTCTGCAGTTAAAGTTTTTAAACATTTATTAGATTCATAAACTATCCTGGATTTTTACCAAACTTGGACAGAAGCTTCTTACAATCAAAAGATAGTATCAAGTGAAATATTTTTATTGATTTACTTCCTCATTTTTGTTGAGCCTGCAATTAACAGAAAAAGTAGGCGAGACACTGGGTTCCGCGGAACCCTTACAAATTTTTTGAGAAAAGAGCCCCTGACCTTAATTTTTTTTTCAGAAAATTTATGTATGAAGACTGAACGAGGCCACACTCCCCCATTAAAAAATTAGTGATTAACTGAATGTATATTTTTTTTTTGCATTTTAATAATACTTTACAATTGGTAAATAGCCATGTTCAATCAACTTCAATAGCAATGCCTGATAATGGTATGAATTTTGATCCTTATTTAGCAATAGTCATTTGTAGATTTATCAATTTGTTATATATTTATTATTAATTGAACAGCTCAAACAATAGACCACTTTCGAGTAATGTCATTCACAGGAAAAGTTCGTCAATTATGCACGCCTTTATGACATCATTTACCAGATAGAGGGGCCCACCTGTATCCCTGCACTAATAAAGTTCATCAAGTGTCTTCGTGATCGTCATTATGCAGGATGAACTAGAAATAATGTTTGTTCCGTAGGTACTTAATCACAATTCACTAATAACAGCAGTGATGATTATCAATTATAACAATTTAATTTGCCGAATAATTCGTGCAATATAGCATCATATTTTTTCAACCGCTCGCTCAACATGGAAAAAAGTGACGATGCCCTTAAACCATGATTGATGTTCACTAAAACCAAAGTTTTTGACGGAAATGCAACGAACTGGAAAGTGGTCTAATTGGACATACTTTATATAGTGTTCAAGTGGACTAATACAATACATCTATGTTTGTGTTATTTGTAAACAATAGCATATGATGTTTTTGTTAATAAAGCCACAGAACACGTTGTTACTTGCTTTTAAAAGTAATATTGTAGGCTTAGTTTGATGATACTATAAAAACTGATATATAAGCAAACAGGATTATTTTAATTTGACAGTTGGTCCAGTCTATGCCATGGAATTCCCAACCAAAGATAGATTTAGAATGGAAGAAGAAATTAGCAACAGATATACTTAGTAACCTCAGCGAAGCAAGGTTTGTTGTCCTATTTAGTAATATTTTCTAAAGTTGGATCTCTTTGGATAGTAGGATACTATAAAGTCTCTGTATCATTTATGAGTTTAAACGAGGTATGAGAAATAATAAGAAAAACATACAAGTATTGACAATTAAACATCATTTTTATATATTGTAGTTTTAAACACACTTATTTTAAACAAATTAAATCAAGATAAAATCAGACCTCTCTTAAAAAATTTGAAATTTGTTTATTTGGAAAATTCAGATTGGCAAAGAGTATATCAGGCCAGATAAAAGAGCGACTGAACAAATCTCATGATGCCTTTTCCATGGCATTGCGCCAGTTGGAACAGAAACATACTGGTCGTCTGGACAAGATAGAAGAAGAAAGACTGAAACTTAGAAAGATTCATGCTCCAAAAGTTGCCAAAGTAGCTCTCGAAAGTACCTCAATAAAAGATACAATTTTACATGGTGAGATTAAAACTGGGTTTTTTGTCCCCTACACTAATCTGATGATTTTGTGCAGAGTTATGGACCTTGGACTTAGAAAATTCACTCAAATAATCAGTTTTCCGCACTTTTTTTCAAGCTTGAAGATATTGACTTGATATTTGTTATATAGTTTACACCATGACAAGTTATAGATCAAGTTAGAATTTTGTTCCAATACAATGAATTTTTAACTGGTAGGTGACTATGTATTGCCATGCAATACTCACAGAATGCTTGTTAGTTTTGAATTAAGAATTAAGCTTTATGCTGCTATCAAAATTAAGTTTTTTAGTCCCTTACCAACGAAGTTGAAGGGGACTTAAGGTTTGCACTCTGTCCATCTGTCTGTTTGTCTGTCTGTCTATCCATCCGTCAGTCCGGCAAATCAGTTTTCCACACTTTTTTTCTTCATGCTTGAAGATATTGATTTGATATTTGGTGTATTGTTTTATCGTTACAAGTTACAGACCAATTTCGAATTTTGTTCCGGTCTGATTATTTTGTGCAGAGTTATGGTCCTTGGACTTAGAAAATACATTCAAATAATCAGTTTTCCGCACTTATTTTCATCATGCTTGAAGATATTGATTTAATAATTGTTATATAGTTTTACAATGACAAGTTACAGATCAAGTTCGAATTTTGTTCCGGTCTGATGATTTTGTGCAGAGTTATGGTCCTTGGACTTAGAAAATTCACTCAAATAATCACTTCTTCTCACTTTTTTTTCATCATGCTTGAAGATATTGATTTGATAATTGGTATATACTTTTATCAGGACAAGTTACAGATCAAGTTCGAATCTTGTCCTGGTCTGATGATTTTGTGCAGAGTTATGGTCCTTGGACTTAGAAAATTCACTGAAATAATCAGTTTTCAACACTATTTTTCGTCATGCTTGAAGATATTGACTTGATATTTGTTATATAGTTTGCACCATGACAAGTTATAGATCAAGTTCGAATTTTGTTCCAGTATAATAAATATTTAACCGGTAGGGGACCTCTCAGAATGCTTGTTTATTAACAATTTTACTTGTTGATAGTCTTTAAAGTTATTCACACCTGCATGTACAGTTCACTGCAGTATGTTGCCTCTTTCGATACAAGTTATACTTTAAATATTTTTAAGAATGGCCTGGTATTGATATATACTTACACTTATCATCGTATCCTATCACCTAATCGGTTAAGATACCAAGCATGAATCTATAGTTGCTATGGTTTTGAAAGGTAATGACTGTCTTTGAAATCAATTTTCAGCACCTGAGATCACCTTCAGTTTTTGGTGGGGTTCGTGTTGCTCAGTTTTTGGTTTTCTGTGTTGTTTTGGGTACTGTTGTTTGTCTGTTTGTCTTTTTCTTTTTTAGCCATGGCGTTGAATGTCCCTTTGGTATCCTTCACCTCTCTTTTTTTGTAAAAAGGTCTCTTACATTTTCTGTGATTTTGAATATATACTAAGCCATTTGGCTTTTGTATGTGTTCATTAGTGCATGTTTTGGAGAGATCCTATTTAAATTATGACATAAAACTTTTTTGCCTTATATTTTTTGTACTTTGAAAGTTTAGGGTTTCTTTAACACAGGTAGATATCATATGTGTAGTGTTATTCCATATTGCTGGTATTTAAATTATCTTTTATTTACAGGTATGCCACATATGGGAAGAGAAATTGGCCGAGGCCAGTATGGTGTTGTGTATTCCTGTGACTCCTGGGCAGGATGTCAGCCATGTGCAATAAAATCTGTTGTCCCTCCTGATGAGAAACACTGGAATGATTTAGCTTTAGAATTTTATTATACAAAGTAGGAACAACTATGTAATCAGAAATCTTTGTGAGCAGCTGAGACATCCAGTAGCCCACCTTTTTCATATATTTTGAATATTTATACAAACTCTATCATATATATTTTTTTTTAAATCTTTAGCTATATTACACTATTTCATGGAGTTAAAATAGATATTAAAAATATATGATGCATTTACTACTGTAGTTTTAATCACTCCTTTAATAAACATCTGATTCATTCAGTAGTATCAGCAACTTTATCATATATTTAAACTAATTTGCTCTTTATCATGTTTTATTATGAAGCTGTCCTACTCCCACAGGTAATCCCTACTACTCAGTACATAGTAAATGGTCTCAACGGGTTAAAGCCATTGCAACAATCATATCGATCTTTGTCATCCACAAAAAATATAGTATTTGGTATAAATACGAAGAATAACAATAAACTTTTCTACTTATGATTAACTTGCACATAGATGATAAATTATCGTGCAAGTACTCTGTATTTCAAAATGTATTGATACAAGACAAAAGTTTATTGAAAATGAATGTTAAGAATAGTAAAGAACATTTCATATGGATAATTAACCCAAATAATTCTGTCCTTTCCGGTGATTGACTCAATGACCAATTTTACATATTTTTTTTCATTTTTGCCTATTATCTTGAAAAGTATAACAGATGGATAGAAATTTTGAAAGCAAGACAAGATCTATAAATAAGTCAACACATGGTGGAAATCGTCAGTCGACTCCTTATTGGAGTTCTTCCTCTTCAATTTTTTGCACTTTTGCCTACTATCTTGAAAATTATAAATGAGAGATAGACACTTTAAATAGCAAAAATGATCAGCAAGACAAGATCTACAAATAAATTCAATTTTGCTGAAATAATAAGTATACTCTTTAAAGGAGGTATTGCCCTTAATTGACAATTTTTTTACCCTTTTTTTGTTTTGTGTAAAAACTAAAGAAGATTGAGAGAAACGGTAAACAGAAAAAATTATCAGTAATACAAGATCAACAAAAAAGAGATTTTTGTCCTGAATTCTAGCCTAGTCCACAATGTTGGAGAGTGTCCATCATTCAAGATCATATACTCTATATAGATCTAGGTGAGTGACACAGGCTGTTAAGAGCCTCTAGTTTTAATTTACATATGGATGAGTCCACTTTTCATGTATTTTAACGAAGTTGATTGGGACAGAGTGCTTTCTACATCAGTCATTTTTTGCATGCATGTGCTTTATATCATATGACAACATACTCAACACTAGTATATTCTATCTATCTTTGATTACAGAAACATTCCAGAGCATGAACGAGTTGTTGCTTTACGTGGTTCTGTGATAGATTACACTTATGGAGGTGGAACAAATCCTGCTGTGTTACTGGTCATGGACAGATTAGTGAGAGATTTATATGGTGCTATCAAACAGGGTTTAGACTGGATTAGCAGGTATAATCTTACAGAAAGTTACCTGACTGAATTTTTACACATAAATGACAGCTTTATTCTGAAAGTTTCTGGTCTTAGCAACTATTAGTCATAGATTATTCATCAGTTCATCCATACAAAAAATGGGTCATGTTGACCTTCATTTTATGCATGGAGGATTCATTGTTCATTTATTATTTAGGTTTAGTTCAAAGTAATTTTAATGTGGACATGCTTTAGGTAGTAATGAATAGATATACCGAAAAATTTGTAATCTTGATCATCATTTTAGTCATAAATGACAAATCAAGTTTGATATTAATGCCCTTATCAAGCAGCTTCAAGTCTATGAGTAATGATACTCAGTTGAAACAATTTTGGAAGGATTTAAAGAATTTTAAATTATATTTTTTTTGCTCTATTGATTCCAGTTTAAAAACAAACATAGGATTATACATAAATTGAATGATATACTGTAATAATTGAAGGTTTCTTACTCTTAGGTATATGAAAAGATGATGCTGATGATGATGGATGGCTGCTTAACGTCCAGCGGCAAATTAATATGCATATTCAGGACAAGAACATGTTAATGTAATATGCTTTATACTACTTTGTACTAGACCGACAAGCTGAGTTGGGTTTTTTTTTACATGCTAGTTCACAAGGTAACGGTCCGCAGGAAGACATGTCACCTTACCTGGACACATTATTCTGACTGAGCCGAGGAATCTTTGCTCTTGCTCCTAAATGCTGTGTGTTTAGCAGAGAAGCAGCATATACCAATTTTAAAGTCTTTAGTTTGACCTGGCCATGGTTCAAACCCATGACCTCCCACACTCGAGGCGAACACTCTACCACGACACTATCGAAGCAGTTATATATATGAAAAGATGATATATATAAATATAATATGATATATGGTAAAGATGAGATAAAAGTGGCAGTTAAAAAATTATAGAAATCAGCAAACCTTTTCATGTCAATACAGTAAGGGCTTTGACAATGATCAATTAAGCACATCATATAACAAGTTCAAGACAATCCCTGCAAAACAATACTATCATTCCCACATCTCACTTGTTCGTATATACTGGAATACAATTTTATCAGTTGATTATTAATGTAACTTTAGTAAAGTATTATGCATGTCAAAGGAGATTATAAGAATAAGAGCCATTATTTTTCTCCTGCAATCACAAAATTGGTAAAAATACCAAATACCTCCAAAAATTAAGTCCTACTGCTAAATAAATAAGAGGATATAATCTAGAAACTTCAATTCAGAAAAGCCAGTTATGATATCACTATGACATCTTTAACATGTTGAATTTGATAAAAAAAAAAGTCATTTTATATTTCAAATTCTCCTTTCTCTTCAAGAAATTCTTTTCAAATTTCTGTGCATTATTTTGTAGATTACAAGTAGCTATTGATGTTGTTGAGGGCATCCGCTATCTCCATGGGGAAGGTCTAATCCATCGAGACATCACAGTGAAAAATGTTTTGGTACATTATTATTTACTATGTTATCTGATTTCAGACTAGTTGTTGCAGCTGATGTTGTTGAAGGCATGCGATTTTTACACAGTCAGGGATTAGTACACAGGGATATCAAACTCAAAAATGTTTTGGTATAGTGTTTAAAATTCATAACTTTTTCACTCTGTTTGTGTGTTTGATATCTTTGAAAATGTATCTTCTGTAAACAATATTCTCTTTGATATTATTCAAATACTCATCAAAATTTATAGCCTTCTGTCTGAAATTTCTCTCTTACAATCAATAAATTCACATCAAAGTTTTTTTTCTTTCATATTTACCAGGATTTTAGTTAAGGGGTCGGACTAAAGTATCCCCTAATTTATATATCCCATGAATGCTACTCTGATTTGCCTTTTTGTATTCACAATTGTTTGAATATTCTCTAACCAGCATGAAGTTTTCTTTTTCTGCATGCATATTTTTTCTTAAAACAATTTACACCACAATTGGCTTTGTTAAAAAATAAAATGTAAAGCAAATATTAAGTACTTTAATTAATTTTATTTTGTTTTTTTTCTCACCTGCAAGACATAGCTTATGAGAATCTGGCAACTGTGTTTACAAGCTATGTAATGCTTGATATTTACGAATGTTGAAGAGCTAGACAATTCTTATGTTGTAGGTACGAAAGTTTTAACTACTAGTATTGAATCTCGCTTGAAATGGTTCAATGACTTACATTAAGTTTACTTGAATAGTAAAATTTCTCATTTTCTATGAGTAATAAGCCAGTTATATATGTCAATTTGAAATTGTTCTCATTCTGATAGGAGTCTGATAACCTTGACCTCTTTTTACGATTCTATGATCAACATTAAGTTCTCATGCTTATGTCAGTTCCTTAGTAACTGTAAACTTGTGTAAGGATAACTATATTTGGTCTTTAGAATCGTTGTTAGGCTTAGATATCCATTTGACATCAGTCCCCTGATCTAATCTTGATTACATGGTTCAATGGTCAATTTTAAGTTGTTTGTTGAGGTCATTTTAACTGACCATTCCTTAATTTTAAGGTACAATGATCAATGTTAATTTTTTCGTTTATGTCAGTTTTTCAATTACCATGAATAGTAGGTATACAATTTCATTTGTTGACTGATTTGTTCACTGGTCTTGTAATCATTGTCCAATGGTAACGTTAAATTTTCCTGTATAGGTTAGTTTCTCAGTGACTTTAATTTTCCACTATGTTTAGATTTAGAAACCTTGAAATGTGTAAATATTCATTTAATCAGGGGTGCAATTGAAATTTACCTCATTTTCATTTTCTGAATTTTATGTTTTTTTGGTCATGTAGAAAGACCTTCATCTGGTAGACTGTCAGCTTATTATTCAGTTATAATCAATAAAGCAAGTGAAGGCTGTTCCATTAAAACATACATGGTACCCAGGGAAGGCACTTTAAAAATGGGGTAACCACCTATAGAGGCAAATTAGAACTTCACTTATATTTCCACTATGCAAAAACATAGATGACACCAACCATAGTTGAGATTTGGAAGTGCTTTCCCTGGGTCCCATGTATGTTTTTATGGAACAGCCCTGAGACATTTCTCTCTGTCCATTCTTTAAAAGTATTTTTATTACACCCTTGTTATTTAATCTCCTGCTGTAATACACATGATTTATTGTATGCATGTTCACACAATCTCTAATCAATTGTTAGTTTGATGTCCTATGGAAGAGGTCATCTCTTAAAGCTACTTTGACCTTTGTCTACTACTTTTTGTGTTTAATGTGTAATATATTTCTTAAAAGAAAAGATGACTGGTCTTAGCAGCCATCTTGAACTTGCAGTGAGGTGAAAGTTGTTTCTCATTGTTAAAGGCCATATTGTCACTTGAGATGAACACCATATCCTTTTTTTTCATTTTAATTGCAGATTTTGAATATAATTAAACTTCCAGTGATTTATTTCTTTTGTAGGATTAACTATACATTAAGAAAACTTAATTGTAAGAAAGGGCAGTTTCTTGATTTTTAAATGGGACGTTTTGGAACTATAAACTCTGGTCAGATTCACTAATGTAGCTTTGTTTAAATTCTTAAAAATCTCAAAGAACAATAGAGATGGTTTGAGGTGACGGCTTGTTTATGAATGAAAAATTCAAAGATATCAAACAACGATTATCCTGCATGTCGAGCCTGTATCATCAGAGAGCTTTCCTGCCTAATGTTGCACTAACATTCCTAATGATCATAGAATCCTCACTGGATCTGTTATAAAATAACTTACACCTTATTTTGATAGATTGAATAAATTATTTAGAATAGAAAACGAATAATATTTTGAAATAGAAAATGAATAAATTATTAAGATTAGAAAAAGAATTAATTATTTAGAATAGAAAGTCTGAAATAATTGACACATGCTGTGAATATCTTTTTTATGCCCCCGCCATCACCGGAGGGGGCATTAAGTGTTACCCTTGTCCGTCCCTATGTCCCAAAATTGGCCTCCGGCCTCACCCCTATGGATTTTACTAACCCTCTATGGATCCGTACGTGGTCAGTAGCGAACCATATAACTTATAGTATTTTCCGAGAATATGCTCCTTAATTTATACAGTATGAAAATTATTTTGACTGGATTTTAGATCATTGATTTTTTTCCGCATTTGAAAAACAAGAGTTTTCAGAGGGGAAAAAGATGTCTCTGGATATTTTCATGAAATGTTTGGGGAGAAATGAACGTCTATCTGTACAAAAATAGATCATGAAAATAACAATAATGTTTAAATATTTTGAGAGAAGTTATTGAGAAAAATATGGGTTTTGTGCCAAAAGTATTTAATACATTACCTAAGAAAAAGCAAGAGACGTTACATAATATAATGATTAATTGATTGTTGGTTGCTTAACATCCAGTGGCAAATATTTCATGCATGTGCAGGATGAGTTACAAAATATAATGAAAAAATTTAAAATATATATAGCAAACATCCTGTAAAAGATTTAAATAAATTGCTTAAATGTTATCTTTCAATGCTTGCTATAACCAGGTTCAGACAAGCTTCAATATTCATGATTTTCAACAGTGTACAGTGTGAAAAGTAAAAAAGTTAATCAAGCATTAGATGTAACAACTACTGAATGGTAAATGTTATTTTTGAATAATTTATAGTAACAGAAATTGTAATCAGCACTTATGTAATTTAATGATTAGTTCAACATGAATTTTTATAATATCATGTGATAATTTCTGAAGCAACATTTATGCATGAAAATGGGAGATTTTTTTCTTAATTTTAGCTTGACAAGGCAAACAGAGCAAAAATCACTGACTTAGGGTTTTGCAAACCAGAGGCAATGATGAGTGGCAGCATTGTTGGGACTCCTATTCATATGGCACCAGAATTGTTCACTGGTCGCTATGACAACAGTGTTGATGTCTATGCGTTTGGTATATTGTTTTGGTATATTTGTGCTGGACATGTCAAATTACCTACTGCCTTCGAGCGTTGTGATAACAAGGATCATTTATGGACTGGTGTTAAAAAGGGTAAGACTTCCTTAACAAAAGCAGACTGAATACTTTCTGTTTTTTCTGGAAAGAAATCTTATTACTTCAATAACTTCTTATCTTCATCTTAAAACTTGAATTAAAACATCTTACTACTTGTATGTTAAATTTTTCATAAGCATTTTGGTGTGAAAATTACTTTCAGTATGTATATTAACATGTTATATTTTGAAAACTTCATGCTAATTATGCTGTAAAATTCCTCTGTTAAGGTGGTACCCAACACCTTGACTAATATTAATTTGGCTCGTTTAATTTTCATAAAATTTTGACAAAATGTTTACTTTGACCCTTTGACAAAAATATAAAAATTTCAAAAAATTTCAACCAACCACTTTATCAGAAAAATTTCATTGGTTATATAGCAGTTTGACAAACACGTATTTTGATCATTGAGAAGCTTAATATTTCCTTAACAATACAAAGTGATTAAAACGTCTTGCTGATTTTTACAGAGTTATCTCCCTGTAGTGTTAGGTACCACCTTAAGATATCTTTAGGTGAAAATATAACCACAGAAACCAGTAGAATGAATGAGGTTATTTTATTATGGTAGTGAAAAAAAAAAATGATTGATTTGATTATATAAAATAAATTCTTTTTGAAACCTTCATATCGACTGTAATAGGTATGATTTACAAAAGGAAAGTAATTTCTTCTTTACATTAAAGACTTTTAAGCCCTTCAAACCACTTTAGCTATTGTCATCCTGTCACATATGTTGTTGTCCAGAGTCTGTCATTTGTTGTCATTAAACTTTCTTTTCATCTTCCTCTATGAAACCAACAATACAATTTTAACCAAACTTTGTAGGAATGTCATGTATTGAAGGTCTCCCGAAATTCTCTTTTGCTTCAAATTTGAATGAAAAACATGTCAGCCTAAGTCAATCTTTTTATTGTGGATACAGATTTTGCAATCCAAGGTCTATTGGCCACAATTGATAAGCAATATTTCAACCACCTCTCTACCCGTGTTTTGTAAACACACAGGAACAGTATTTTGATCCTATTAATGCCCATGTCAAGAAATTTATGAATGATACATGTATATGCTCAGATATCCTATTTAACAATCAATATGTGCCAAACAAAACCATCTAAATTAAATTCTGTTATAAAGCAATAAACCTTATTGTTATCTTGGATTCTGTGACATTTATGTAATTGTTCCTATTGTGGTTATATAGTGATAAGAGTGATTATGGGTTAAATTTATCTGGATAGCATTTCAGAATCCTGGAAGCCTCTAGTTGTAGAAAAAGGAAATAAAGACACTCTATATAATTCTATTATTTTAGGTTTACGTCCAGAAAGGTTAGCAGTTTTTGATACAGATTGCTGGGAATTGATGCAAGAATGTTGGGATGGAGAACCATTGAAGCGTCCTTTGCTTGGAGATGTACAGACACGGTTGGTTAAAATCCATGACTATTACAAAAAAACTGCCAATCCAGCAACAAAGGAAGTCCGACCAAAAAGTGCTGCCTCCAAAACAAAATATAATATTCGTTGATTTTGAACAAGCCTTTCAATACTCATTTTAATTGTTTAAAAGAAATTTAAATGAAAATATAATTGAGGAAATTAATTTTTGCAGCTTCTTTTATTAAAGATTAAGAACTTATAAATTTTGTCAAGGTGTATTGCTGTTTATTATGTACTAAGAATATATTTTGATCTTGATGGTAATTCCAATTACAATTAATAATGAATATTTTCTGGTATATCATGAAAACAACTCTTTTTTATAATTTTCCATTTTATATTTTTGTTTCAATTATGTCGGATTAAATGTTCTTTGTTTGTCAAACATACACTCATAATGCATAAGCTATTAGTATCTTTTTGGTGCATATTTGTATACTATTTAAAAAAATGTGATAATAGAAACTGCCCTCAATATTGAAAATTGAAAGTTCTACCATACACAAATTATATACAGTTCCCAATATTAAAAGGGATGTATTGTATTTAATATGAAACAATGAAAAAAGGATAGAAAATACATACATATTTCTTACCAATCAAATATAATTGCAAAAGGCAAATTCTGATATTTAATTGAAGAAGATGATAAAATGCATATTCTTTTCCATCATGGAAAGCAATAGCAATATTCAAGGTTCATTTTTACATAAAAAGATCAAAGGAAAAAAAAAGCTCATACATTGTTTCAATTTATATCTGTTACAAATATCATTGATAGTAAAACTACATTTGACCATTTTAGATTATTATCATGATCTTGCCTAAAGGTTTAAAGGGTCATAAATAATGTTATCTTTTTGTGTGCCTTTGATATATAGTTTATAATAAATATGTGCCACCACAGTTAATTTCTTTGTAGTTAAAAATCAAAAGGCTTATATCTTTTTAACTGAAGAACAGATTGGTCAGAATTTTTCAAGCAATGTTTTTTTTTACATCAAGGAAATCAGGTTCTTGTAAAATCAAATTATTTCTGATAATCAATTTTTCAATCCTCAAAAAGGAAAGTGGGAAAAATAACTTTTTTTTTTAATTTCCAGATATTCTACCAAATATTTATTATCAGAGATTTTATATCTTTGTCCTTTGATTGTTGACTTTTTAATTGGAAAACTCTCATGTGACAATGAATTAGATTTTCCATCAGTTTTAAATAAACTTCTACAAATGCTTAGGTATTTTGAATTTTAAACAAGAATAAAGTACAATGTATAACCTTGAAAGATAAAACAAAACTGTGTATATAAAGAAGAGGTGCAATTCTTGATTTCCTAAGTTTGTTTTATTTTGTCATGCTAATTTTGTATGTTCATTTGTTCAAGTTGTATATGTTACATTTAAATTCAAATTGTTTAAAGCTGACATGTTTTTATTAATGTTGTATATGACTTCTAAATTTGGAAACAAATATTTATTCATCATAAGTTTCATTGTATGGTGAATTTATTTTATTTGGTAGGTGTGCCCTTGATAAACACATATGTTTGTTTTGAATGATGATAGAAATACATGTTCACTGTAATTCACTGTATTGATATAATAATTATCTTATGTTATAGATGATATGAATTACACAGTTGTGCCATTATAATATTCAAATAATCAAAATGTATTTGTCTAAAAATGTCAAAATGTAAAATCTCTGAAAAAATTAGGGGTTATATAGTGTCTTCTTTGTCTGTCCTGTATTTTGTTAAGTCTATTCTTGTTATACTTTTGGAATTATAACTTCTTTTTTTTTTTATTAAGAAGCATATTGTTCTTACTGAATGCTGTTACTGTGATGGATGCTGATGACCAAACAAAGTTGCCACTTGTGATACTTATTATAATATTGGAAAATACACAGAAAGATCTATTTGAAAAACACCTAACCTGTGAACTCCAAAAAAAAAACCAGTAAACTTTCTTTTGAGGTGCCAAGTGTTCACCCATAAGTCCATCTGCAGGTAGTCAGAGATTGATCTGACATCTGGCAGCCTTTTTAGGACTAGCTGATCCTGGTATTTGAATAGATTATATATGAACAAAAGGAGATGTGGGCTTTACATCAATGAGACACCAACCGAATGGAATAAAAAACTAAAAGAGATCTAGAGTAAGTGCCTGTCTCAAGTCAGAAGCCTGTAATGCATTGGTTGTCATTTGTTACTATAATTCATATTTGTTTTTTGTTTGTTGCTCATGTTCATGAATCGACTGTTAATTAAATTAAATTGTTTTACATTTTGTTTTGTCTGGGCCTTTTATACCTTGCAGGTGGTATAGGTTTTGCTAATTGTTGAAGGCCATACAGCGACCTGTAGTTGCTAGGATCCATGTCATTTAGTCTCTGGTGGATAGTTGTCTCATTGGCAATCCTACCAACATACAATTATCAACAATGGACAGGAGTCTATACGATGTCAAGCTCTAAATTGTTCAGTCTAAAACAAAGTCATGAATAAATGAAACAGATCCTATCAAAGATCTGCCATCAAAACCAAAGTCAATACAAAACAAAAAACGAAAACATATAACATAATACAGCCATTGATTGATAAGGTTCCTGACTAGAACAGGCACATGAATATCTCTTTTTAGATTATCAAACCTTTTACACTTGAATCTAATTTTGAGTGATGGCAGTTAAAAAGTCAATATAATTATGCAAGAGTTTTAATTCTGGTGAAATGTTGAAATACTGTATATTCAGAAATTATTGTGAGGTTTTTATTAATGCGAATAATGCGACAACTTGAGTATGGCAATAATGAGAACTCTGATATCAAATACATATATCTGTATGAAGCTTTTCCTAAAATCGCATACTTTAACTCGCATTTTTGTTAATTCTTCAAAAATCGCAATAATAAATGCACGCAATAATTTCTGAATTTACAGTATGTAATGCAAGATTGTCATACTGTGTATGAACTTATTCCTTTAAGACCAGATTAATTTAAGGGTAAAAATGATTTTTTTTTAAAAGATAAGTGCTAAATGTCTGTTGATTTGTTTCATTGTAATTTATTTATTTGAATAAATCATTTAATTTCATATTTTTTAGTCATTATATATTGTTGTAAACAACAATCAATTATTTTCAGCTCCATATAAATATCTAAACGCGTTGTATGAGTTTTTGTCTTACTTCATCTTTTGGTTTCATTCATGACATTAAAGTTTGAAGTGTTATAGTATGAGATTATCATTCAGCCAAGTTGAGATGCTGTTGAACTCAGTTTATTATATGATGAATGCTGTACAGACACCAGTTATCTTGGAATCAAGTTTCGTTGTTACATTTGTTACTCAGATACTGTAATTAATTAAGCAATAGGTCAACTTAAAGGGGAACATGTCTGTCTGGCAGGTATCATATGACCTTGACCTCATTCACATTGTTCCTTGGTCAATGTTCAGTTTTCATGGTAATAACTCAGTTAAACTGTAAGCAAAATAGGTCACCTATATTTGATGTATGAATGATTATAGGGGAACATGTCCATCTGACCTTGACCTCATTTTTTGGTGCATTTTTGTCAATTGTTAAACAACAACTAAATAAAATAAAGAAACTAACTTATAATTTGCAAAGATGCATGTTAGGGTATACAACAACAATCATACATAACATTTTACATTTAATTACCTTAGAATATGTGATACTTCTTATGTTGAGTTCTGAAAAGCTAGTTGTCCTGAAGTCATGTATTAAACTTACAGAGGAAACTAAATGCCCTGCAGTTATGTTACTTGTATAGAAAGCAAGATGGAGTAATTCAACTTATACGACAGGTGCAACATGGGGAGCTGAATCTGCTTACACTTCCGGAGCACCTGAGATCACTCCCAGTTTTGGGTGGGGTTTTTGTTGCTCAGTCTTGTTTTCTATGTTGTGTTTTATGTACTGTTGTTTGTTTGTTGGTCTTTTTTTTTTTACCATGGTGTTGTCAGTTTATTTTCGACTTGTGAGTATGAATGTCCCTTTGGTATCTAGATGCCCTATACAAAGAGCTAGTATAGGTGCCTTGCAGTAATGCAATTTGTCTAGCAGTTATGTATCTTTCACATACATTTAGTTACATACCAGTCATGCAACTTGCACTGGTAATAAGATATCCTGCAGTACTAATGCAATTTAGGATCCCTGCAGTTGCAGTCATTTTACTTGCACCAGAAACATACAGACTGCAGCCTACAACTTGCACTGAAAACAACTTTTGTCTTTCAGTCATGCAACATGCACAGGAAACTAGGTGTACTGCAGACATTGTGTGTTTCACCTAAGGTCATAAGATATAGTTGGGCAAATGGGAAAGTTTGTACACAAGGATTACCCAACTCCTTTTGTACATGTACCAAGTCAGGCTATATGACCTATATTGACCATGTGTTGTTCATTGTTGTGTGTCTTTGTTTGTACATCTATATTTTCAGAGAAGTTAGGTATTGGTGGTATTTTGTGGTCTGATTTACTGTCCAATATTTTGTCCATTATTCTTTTTTGTATTATGTAACTTGCACAAGAGACTAATTGGCCTGCAGTTATATAAAAGCACAGATATAAGGAGCACAGCAGTCTTGTATCTTATACAGGAATCAACTTGTTCTGCAGTCATGTAACTTGTACAGGAAGTTAGCTCTGCAGTCATGAATTTTCCACAGAAAAAAATATATATCGTCACAATACTTGCACAGGAAACTATAAGCCCTGCAGTTATGGATCTTGCACAGGAAATTATTTGCCTAGAATTCATTTCATTTGCACAGGAATTTTCATACTTCAGATTTCTACTCAAATTCTGAGTTTATTTCTTGAATATAGGACTGCTTATGTAGAAAGGTAACTTTGGATTTGTTACACAAAATGTTTTGTTATATTTGTGAATACTGTGGATTCATAATTATTCGTTGGATACTAATTTTCGTTGATTTCATGGGTAAAGGTGATCCACAAATTTAAATGTTCAACGAAGTACAAACTTTCTATAGGCTTGTAAGCAGACTTAGGAAAAACCACAAAATTAAGTATCCATGAAAATACAAATTTTCCTTCATCAACGAAAATTGATACCCACGAAAATAAATGATTTCACAGTATATCATCTGGTAAAATAGTATGGTGAAATATTATAGCCTGCTCTTCGTCTTAATTTTTGTCGAGCCTGCGACTTTTGTCGCAGAAAGCTCGACATAGGGATAGTGATCCGGCGGCGGCGGCGGCGTTAGCTAACTTCTTAAAAGCTTTATATTTTAGAAGGTGGGAGGTCTGGATGCTTCATACTTTGTATATGGATGCCTCATGTTACGAAGTTTCTGTCAGTCACATGTCCAATGTCCTTGACCTCATTTTCATGGTTCAGTGACTACTTGAAAAAAAAGTTAAGATTTTTTGTAATGTTAGATTCTCTCTTATTATAAGTAATAGGATAACTATATTTGGTATGTGCGTACCTTGCAAGGTCCTCATGCCCGTCAGACAGTTTTCACTTGACCTCGACCTCATTTCATGGATCAATGAACAAGGTTAAGTTTTGGTGGTCAAGTCCATATCTCAGATACTATAAGCAATAGGTCTAGTATATTCGGTGTATGGAAGGACTGTAAGGTGTACATGTCCAACTGGCAGGTGTCATCTGACCTTGACCTCATTTTCATGGTTCAGTGGTTATAGTTAAGTTTTTGTGTTTTGGTCTGTTTTTCTTATACTGTATGCAATAGGTCTACTATATTTGGTGTATGGAATGATTGTAAGGTGTACATGTCTAGCGGGCAGGTGTCATCTGACCTTGACCTCATTTTCATGGTTCAGTGGTCAAAGTTAAGTTTTTGAGTTTTGGTCTTTTTTTCTAATACTATAAGCAATAGGTCTAGTATATTCGGTGTATGGAAGGACTGTAAGGTGTACATGTCCAACTGGCAGGTGTCATCTGACCTTGACCTCATTTTCATGGTTCAGTGGTTATAGTTAAGTTTTTGTGTTTTGGTCTGTTTTTCTTATACTGTATGCCATAGGTCTACTATATTTGGTATATGGAATGATTGCAAGGTGTACATGTCTAGCTGGCAGGTGTCTTCTGACCTTGACCTCATTTTCATGGTTCAGTGGTCAAAGTTAAGTTTTTGAGTTTTGGTCTTTTTTTCTAATACTTTATGCAACAGGTCATCTATATTTGGTGTATGGAAATATTTTATGATGTACCTGTCAGTCTTGCAGGTTTTATTTGACCTTGACCTCATTTTCACGGTTCATTGCTCAGTGTTAAGTTTTTGTGTTTTGGTCTGTTTTTCTAATACTATAAGCAATAGGTCAACTATATTTGTTGTATGGAAGGATTGCAAGCTGTATTACATGTCTGCCTGGCATTGTTCATCTGACCTTGACCTCATTTTATTGGTTCATTGGTCAATGTTTAGTTTTCTTGGTTAAGTCTGTATCTTAGAAACTATAAACAATAGGTCAACTATATTTAGTGTATTGAATGATTGTAAGGTGTACATGTATTTCTTGTTTGGTTTATATGACCTTGACCTCATTTTCTTGGATCATGTTAAGTGTATGTGATAGTTGTAGTAAAGCTTTATATTTAGGACTATCAACATAATATCAATGATTAGTAAAGAAGGCGAGACATTTCAGCGTGTGCACTCTTGTTATGTGCTTAATTAAGAAGCTGCATGTTTTTATCCTAGTGCTTATATATAATTTGTATGAAAGGGCCTAAAACCAAGTCCATTACATTCCAAAGTTAAGGAGAGCATGCCTACCATAAAACTATTAAGCTGTTCTATTTTTTTTTTTTCAGGTGAGTCCATGCTTAGCATACAGCAAAAACTAAATTTTATATTTGTAAAAAGAAATGTTTTTTGTTGGAGGAATAAAGAAAATATTTCAAATTACTAAATTGTAAATTTAATAATAACTATAAAATATCACAAATCAATGCATATCATCACAAACATCTTGTATACATTTAAAGTCTACAAAATAAAGTAAAATAAGAGGATACATACATCCTAAATTATCTATATTAAGCGTATGAAGTCGTATCAAATGATTTTTGTTTTTGATTGAAATGACATAAAGAAACAACAAAAATCTATTTGAACAACCCCTAAAAATATCACAGTATTTGACAGAATGTCACTGGTTTTTAGCTTCAATAAAAAAAAGCCAATGTGCTGGGTCTAAAACCTTAACTATAAAAAAATTCAATATTATGTATGTATGTTTGAAATAACTATAACTTACTTCACTTGCTATTTATATCAGTTAAGCTAGAAAATTGGAAATAGATAAAAAATGTTTGAATAGGAAATGTTCAAAATGAAACCGTTTTGTCATGAATAAACTTCAAAAAAAAAAATTTCATGTAAATCGATGTCACATCTAAAATTGTATTTTGATATCATAAAACTGGAATAAAAATTTAAATGCTGATCAATTAATACTGTAAGCTACATCACACATTTATACAGTAAATTTGCATAATTACATAAAAATATTATATAAGCATTGCATCATAAAAACATAGAGGTAAAAGATATTATAAAACAACAAGATCGACAGTTATTTGATCTCTTTTATGCTCGTCCCAGTTATTAGTTATGTACAGTAAAATCCTCCATCATGTTTCCTTGAATATCCACCATTTGTTCCATCACTGTGAGAGCTTTCTATATGATGCGAATTAGATGAGAAAAAGATGAAAAAATGAAAAGTTAGTAGCATATACTACTTAATAAAGACAAAAAATCAACTTTTTCAAAGTAATTTATGTTATTCAGTTGATGTTTTTTTTCAACATAATTCTTTTTCTAAGTTACTACCAAAGATTTAAAATAGAAATTGTTTTTTTATCTATCAAAGCTTTGAAAAAGTTCATTCTATGCATAGTCTTTACAGCCAATAAAAATATGCAGAAATGGGAGAGTTCCGAGATTATTTTATTTTTCAACGTTGACAGTTTTTGATCTGTCTTGCCTATAGTCTTTCACACAGGTGAAATAAGCAAATAAATTTATGAAATGGTAACAAATTTTCACTTAAAATATCAGACAAGACTTTTCTATTTTAACCCAATCACCGAGGTGAAAATCAATGATAACATTAAGGTTACCCATAAGTTGAAATTTCATGCAGACAGTGTTTTGTTGATCCCACTCTACATTGATTTCTGCCAAAATCATTTGACTTGGGGTTTTTTTGGGGTGTAAAATGTGACATTACACAGAAAAAAATATTATCTTGGAACTAAACTATAGAAAACTTCTTAAATGTTAGAAATTACAGTCTTAGATTATTCATGAGCTCGAGCTCAAATAGATCAGTCCTACAATCCAGCAAACTATGTATAAAGCTAAAACTAAATACCTCAACCACAGTATGGATTGAAGACAATGAATAGAAATATCTAAACTGTTCTTTTACAACGTTTATCTCTGATCATAATCAAATGATGATTATATTATTTAAATACTGATTATATCATTAAAGCTAAGTGATCAATACTGTTAAATACGCTGTTAAAATCAAACACGACAAATGTTGAAAAATTTCAATTGATATTAATTTACATGGCTATAAAAAAACACTTTCACCAAGAGCAAAAGAAATTAAGGTGAAACCAGAATGAGCAGATAAGGAAAGTGCAAATGTTAAAATATAGTAGAAGACTATAGTGTTAGTGGAACCAAGATGAAAGTGTAGATAAAGCATACTGTTGGCACTTTAAGCATATATTGTTTAGTATTCAGCATGCAATGTTCCTTAGTAAATTAGCAAATTTAAGGTTTATAGTAAGAATGAGTATTATATAAATATTTAACTGATCAATAGCAACTAACCTAGCCTGTACTATTATCATAGATAATTACAACTGGTATAAATTATATAACATCAATCAACATCAGCTTTCATACATTTTACCAAAAGTAATGTGACATTTAACAAGTTCAAAGTTCAAAATTATTTTCATACATTTCTCCATTTGATAGGTCTATAACATCTTCACTTTGAAATGTAAGATAGTTAATAGTAACATGTAATTTATAAATTTTTTGTTAAAAGGGAGATAATCCTAAGTTGTGAAAAATCCACCATCCGGTTTTCGAGAATACCCCTTGTTTGTTGTCTGTGTGTGGTGTCCGTCTGAAAAGTTAATATGGTTTATTTATAACAAGTAAAAATATTTCATGTTTTTTTTTCATTTAGGTTCAAATTCTCTAAACAATTAAATATTTACTGGAATGTTCATTTTATGAAATTTGTAGGATTTGAGCAATGAAAATTATAATGTGTTTATAATTTATATTACCAGAGGGGATGTTTGTTTAAATCAACTGTAATTTTAAAAAAAAATGAACATTATATATGTCCAATTGTAATAATCAATAATTATTGTTGAAAACTCATTCAGAATATTGAGAACACCATGACAACCCAGGAGTATTGACGTATTTACACTTGTATGCAAATTTGTCCGCCATTACGTAAAATCACACAGGTTCCCGTAAACTTTGACATCATAATTCAAAACATTTGACGTCACAATCAAAAAGTGATTGTTGCCTGACGTCAAAAGGTGATTCGGAGTTGATCTAAGGTCATTCAGAGGCAAAATATAGCTAAATACCAAAAGTGTAAATACGTTTGAAATTGGACCCATCAACCCTCTCTAATTCCCCTAAAATAAAATCTGTTCTACAAGACAAAATACATAGCATTCATGAGTATGTTATTTCCTTTTACATCAAATTAAGCATTGAGAAATGCAAATACAGAGAAAAAAATTTGCAATAAGTAAGAAACTTTGAGAATATGGGATTTATGGTAAGACAGACGGGTATGATGGAGGCTCATGCAAAACAGGGGGAAATCAAAAGAGTTGAAAAATTTGTTCAGGCTTTACAAGAATACCAATTGAGTTCTTAGAATTCAGTGATTAGTTTCACAAAAATCTTAAGACTAAAGTTGATCGTAAGTATACTAGATTGTTCAAGACTTACAATCAACTTTAGTCGTAAGATTTTTTGTGAAACTGATCACAGTTTTTTATATTTATACTTTTTCAGATGTAGGTTCAAAGATTTTTCATCTAAGAAGAAACCTCAATTTCTTAACAAACAATCTAATCTTACCTATAGCATTTTCAATGGTATGTATGCTGTCCTTCTTTTTCTGGTCAGTTATATGTAGAGGGTGGCATAGATATGGTTTGACAGGAACAATTTCTTTTTCCCTGTTTTTCAACACTCTCCTGAAAGAAAAAAAAGTCAACTTTAACCATACATATAGACAAGCAAACACACACACCTTCTGTCATTTTTTCAGTAACAAAAAGAAGTATCCATCAGATTTGTTGTATAATAACAGCAGCAATCATATATTTTGAAAAACCTATAGAACCCTGAGACAATGATGAAGATGCTGAAATTTTAGATAGAACTACCGTAACTACATGACCATACTTGTTTTTAAACTTAAAGATATATTTGATATACCTACCAAATTTATTTTGAAGGGGGTTACTTAAGCTTTATTCCAAAAACAAGATTAAGGTACTTAAGTTAATATAAGATAATTTTTACTGACATGGTCATGAAATAGAAGTTCCTTCATAATATAAGTTCCAAATGAAAGAAATATCTTGGAATATTATACTACAGAATTTATTTGCATTAAATGGAATAAAGGTTACAGGAACAGAAATTATGACATTATTTATAACAAAGTTTCCATGGGAAAATAATACGTGTACATCATTCTTATCTTACCCATGCTCTGAACCTTTACTTTCAGGTTGATACAATGTTTCATTTTTGGCTCTCAGAAATTCATCATGATGGTCGTATTCAGATTTTAGTATAAAATCTAAACTGTCTTTTGGTGCTTGAGGGTCAAAATGAAACACTTCTCTTCTAGATGAACTAAGAGTGCATTTTGAATTCAATCTATTCCATGGATCTTCATTCTGTGCTAGATGGGTTGCCTGTTTGTATGGTTCTTTCTAAAATAATACATAAATTCTAAAGTTATTCAAAAATATTAGCTATCCATGTATTACAAGTGTATTGTCATCTGTTTTAAGAAAATTAAAAAATACTATGGAAAATTATCTGTAGGCTGTAATACTTTACTTAAATCCCTGATTCCAATTTACCCTGATGTGAAAAAGGTCTTGGACATACTTCTCAATGAGATTAAAAGAAATTGTATATTATCAAAACGCTTCCAGTTTGAATGAAACAAAGAACTGTTCTGTTTTAGAAACATTTCAGGTGACTGATACAGCTATAATTTTCTGATTACAGGCACAACACACAGTGCATTAATATAAAGTAAAAAAAACTTGTTTGGTAAATGTAAATTCATGAAAACACTCAAATGTAAAGATCCTCGCCTTTTAATAGACAGCAACTGCCTAGAAATTGTTGAAGACTGTATGTTCCTCTCTTGATGTTTTTTTTTTTTGTAAGTTAGTGTCATTAGGTTGCTATCTCATCTACATAAAACTAACAATATATATCTTCACAAGTTATTTTAGTTTTTGAAGATACACTTTTGTTCTTTGATTTGTGTCTTTGAATGTATATATACATGTATATTTAGAAAATGAAGGGATATGGAGTAAATGTACATGGGACAAAATCGCACACAATACATAGAAAACATAGAAAATATCAATGAACAGAGCTTTTATTCCTGTTCTTCATCTTGACATTTGATGTAGGGTCTTCAACAATGAAAGAATCATTCATACCCTACAACAAGGTCAAGACAGCCCCTAGCGTCGACTTAAGCGGTACTATTGATAAAAATAAACCACAGTTCACCTTCTTGCTCCCCACCCGCCTCGGAGTGCCAACTTGTGCGATGCTTTTGTACGACGGTTCTCCAGTCTAAAGCACCATGTATACAAGAAAATTGCAGTAATTTTGAAAGACATCGATCGCCGCTAAAATATGCCTTGAAGTTACACATGTCGGGAGCGGTCAATGAATAACATAATTTATAATTACGGGCGAGGTTTTTCAACATATATTTGTCATACATTGCCCAACAAAAGACCAATAATTTAGAAACAACAAATGATAGACAATACATATTAAACTAAAAAACAAATGATAGACAGCACAGGGCACATCGAAATATATGTAAGAAAACCTAGCAGTTTAAAATAGTATGAAAGGGCAATATACAAAACAGATGACCAGACCAGTATTTTGAAGAAATTTAACCAATTGAAACATGAAATTTTGATGGTGTATTAATATGAGACATTCTCACATGAACAAGCACACCAGAACTGTAAATATTATAAGAGCATACACTTCAAGCACGGGGATACGTTCTACTGCCTCCACACAGCACTAGAGACAAACTCTAGAATCAATAGAAAATGAAGGGATATGGAGTAAATGTACATGGGACAAAATCGCACACAATACATAGAAAATATCAATGAACAGGGCTTTCATAAAAGGAAAAACACAATTGGCCAACTTGACTCTGCTTTATTATACAGTAAGGATCTTTATTCAATGTTTTAGACGTCCAACTGAGATCATTGCCATTGAAAATTTATCTATGTGAAACGGGAGAGCATGATTTGCCTTAAAAAATTTAATAACTGTACCAGCCAAGATTTGAAACCCTGACCCCTGGCACAGTTAGTCACTGCTCTATCAACTGAGCTAATGGAGTACTCCACTGGAGCAGCTATGGAGGGTGGTAATATATAACTACACAGCTACACTTCCACCACCTCTTAAATATTATTTATTCTAACGTTGGATTTAAAATTGTTGGGAGCTTAAATGTTGTAACCTGAGAGTATGAATTGCCTTCCAAAATTAATAAGTGTACCAGACAAGATTGGAACCAAGGATGTTTGGCAAAGTAAGCCACCTTTCTATTAACTGTGCTAAAAGAGTAATGCACTAGTTTACTTAGCTAATGTTAGTAATGAAAGGCGATATCTATTACTAGATAAAGGGAAGCACCGCTACATATATATACATAGGTATTCATAACAACTTAACGTAAACATATGTCAAATCAATAAAAATGTTAAGTAAACAATATTTCACTTTGAAATAATATTTCTCGACAAAAGCAATAACAAATATGACAATGACTGTCTGAATCGAAATAAAAATGGATATATTACCTCTGTAAATGTTGGACCGTAAAAGTCTGCATCATTTTGCACTTTAGGAAATGGATAGGGATTCCGTGAAGATAAAGTGTTTGATGCCATGCTTGATTCAGGCCTTTAACTTATCAAATAAATCTATTTGTCTGACAGCAGTGGTACTAATCTAGGTTTTCGTGTACCTTGACAACGCCAAATCTCGCGTGCACATTGGAGGTTACGATGAATCCATGACAACTCGCCCCACTGGCAAATCGCCCCACACCAAATCGCCGCACTTTTTCACCAACTCGCCCCACTTTTTAAAAAATCGCCCCACTCTTGTTTACCAACTCGCCCCACTTATTAAAGGGTTAATATCCCGCTGAATATAGGTCTGCCAAGTTGCCTCACTTATGCAAAAAACAGAAAAATCCCGATGAAAATTGGTCATGCCAAATCGCCCCCACTGATGAAAAAGGATGCAAACCCGTTGAATAAAGGGCTGCCAACTCGCCCCACTTTAACCCTTTTTCATAAGTGTGGTGAGTTGTTCAACCAGTGTGGGGCGATTTTTTCATAAGTGGGGCGAGTTGGTGAAAACTAGGGGCGATTTTTTAAAAAGTGGGGCGATTTGGTGTGGGGCGATTTTGTAGTGGGTCGAGTTGTCTTACTACCGGTTACGATAAAGTGAGAATAAGTTTTAAATGCAAAAAAATACAATAAATTGATGGCATAAATGTTAAAATTTCATCAATAAATGACAATTAAGATAAGCAAACTGATTTTAAAATTCAAGACAAAAACATGCAAAATAAATTTGTAAACATAATAACTTCCGGTGCAATTGTCATTGTGGAGGCTCCATTGTGCGCCGAAATAGAACAATATTTGGACGTGTTACCAGTCCTGTGTGTTTTAACAGGCACTGTCATAATTGGATCAGCAACCTGCCCATTGAAATGTTGAAGTTCGCAGTTATTTTGTTCTTGTTTGGGCCGAGTTTTCAAGTAGATTTACCGACATGTCAGCAAGTAAGTTTGTCGTCTGTAAATTAGTGTAAAAAAACAAAAAAAAAACCCACATTATGGCATTTGCATACTGCTTGGACCTTTAATATACAAGCAGTTTTTTTTAAAGTCGTTTACAATTATTATGAGGCAGGTGTTTTAGAGTTAAAAACTTATTATGAAGTGGTAGTAAGCAATTATAGGCCACTGGCACTGTACGGCCTTCAACAATGTGAAAAACCTAATGCCGTATAGTCGCTTTGATATTAAAGGCGATTTACATGGTCCGATCATATGTTTTCATACATCATATGAATTTGTACTATATATGGGATCTCCTGTAGTTGGTGATCGCAATACTGGTATACTAGTATTGTGCACAATACTGGTATAAAAAATTTGTACCAGTATTGTATTCCAGTATTGTACCAGTATTGTGTTTTTTTTTAAATAAACAATACATATAGGTAATTAATCTTTTATTAAAGGTGTCACATATATATGCATAATGATATTAACATATGACATGACAATTTTATATGGAATGATAATGTTTAACTGATGATGCCATTGATGGTACACTGTGATTGTAATCAAAGAAGGTTTTAAATCTTCTGATGATTTTTTCTCAAGGGAACCGTACTGTCTCAGCATTTTAACAAACTCTTTACTTTCTTCTATGTTTTCTTCCAGCTCACTCTTTCCAAGACTCAATAGTATATTTTTGTGAATTTTATATTGACATTAATGCTGTTATAGCTTCTGTATAATCAGCATTGGTACGGTTTATTTCTTCTTCAGATGGCATTTCTGCAACCCCCACTTCCTATATTGAAAGTTAGGTATTCAGTCTGTAGACTCTCTCTTACGCTTACTAGATTACAAGCTTGTTTAGATAGCACCTGCACGGCTCTCTTACTGTAGGAGTGCTTGTCTAGTATTAGTATTTGAGTATTTGTACCCGAGTAGATATATCTGTTACAAACTGTATTGCCCATGATTCTGAATCAACTGCTTTAACTACCCTTAACATTCATGTAGACAAACTAGTTAATTTGATTATAATCAGGTTCCCCTATTAAGCAACTTTTTAAGTTTAATGGCTATTGATATCTTTTATCATGTTTATTGTGAAAGATTAATAAGAAAATAAAGACAAACAAATGCATATGATCTTAGTATACATGCATGTATTAAAATATCTGTAAAAATATAGGATGGCATACATGTAAATGCTAAATTTATAGTGTAATAATTTGCTTGAATTTATTAAATAATAACTCAGATAATAAAGCTTTTATTTTATTTTATCTAAATTGAATTAAATAAAATATAGAAATATGATAAAATTATTAGCAATTATTTATATAATTAACAATTGTTTGAATAAGATGAGTTAATTACAATAATCTTTTGTTTATTTGTACAAGTATAGTAATACTTTTTAACTGGTTGTTAATTGATTTCACAATTATCCTCTATAATCTTTTTGAGTTCATTTAATCTACCTTTGATCTTCAATATTTAATTTTGCTCAAAATTCATTTTTAATTACACTCCTTAAAGTATAGTGAACAATACAACTACAATACTGGTATATCAGTAATGTACCAGTATTGCTGTTTTTTTTTTAAAAGTTACAATACTGGTACAAATTTTTTATACCAGTATTGTGGACAATACTGGTATACCAGTATTGCGATCACCAACTACAGGAGATCCTATATATGCTTTTTCAATGGAAATTGTGACGTCACAATGCATTCTCAATAGCATGAAAACCAACAAGACAAGGATAGTTATCTCGTACAATTGCAAACTCATACCAAATTATGTCAACTCGCACCACTGTAAACTCGTACCAACCTATTTAAAAAGTGGAAGGTTGTTTTGATTTTTTTGTTTTTTTTGTTTTGTCTAATTGTATCGAGACTAGTAGGCATGATTACATAGCAAAGAATTGGTTTGATTTTAATGCTTTATTGGGCACAATTTACCCCAACACAGTCTTGGGCAACAACATAATTTATTATCTCCCAATTTTTAAAAAATTCTCCCAAATCTAGATCACCCTCTGGGAGCGTTGATGACCTTCTTTTACTTTCTTTTTTGTTATCTTTGTTTGTTGTAAAAACGTGCCACAATATAATACGAATAATTGTTAAGATTCTATCTTTTGAGAAGGATCCATCACAGACTACACGAAATTCGTCAGACAAATGATGAATAATGGATCAGTCTGGTAAAATTTTGTTGAATTCCGGTCTGAATGTCCGGTGTTGTTTTTTTCTTGGATTTTTCTATAAACCCTACATTTTTCCCAATTTTGGGAGAAAAATTCCCGAACAAATCTCAAAATTCATTTTCATCTTTATTATTCATGACAGCAATGATTTTGTTCAACCGCTAGCTTTTGACAGCAATGTTTATTTTGTTCAACCACTAGCTTTATGCCAAAAATCGCCAACGAGCTTAAGTAATTTGTAAATCTGAATAAAAACATATCTGACCAAAAACAACAATGGCTGCCATCAACCGGAAATATAGACAATACTGGATCAGATTCCGGGAACGGATAAGGCAAATTCCGGGTTTGCCGATCAAATACAATAAATAAATTTTTAAAAATCCAAGCAGGTTCACAAAATACAGCTATGAAATATTTATAAACACTAGAATTGAAAACCAAAAGATATATGAAAAAGAAAGAAGATACAGGAAATATTTTATACAGAAACTCTAAAGTATTTTTAGTTCACAAATAATTTTCATGTCAAAATCCAATAAAATGTGACATTACTTTTCTTTATCACTGAAATGCATTCAAGAAATTGTGCAAACTTTCATCAAAATATACACTGTTGTCACATGATTTTGTTTTTGTGCATTTTGAAGAGGAGTAGCTATAGGGCACAACAAGTCATAAGTTTGTTGTATTTTGTCGGGTAATATACAATAAGATATAAAAAAAATTGGTCTGGTAAAATATCATTTGGTCTGGTAAAGCTAGGTTGTTTACCAGACCGAATCCTGTAAAAATAAAATTCATTCGTGTAGTCTGCTTCTGAAGACATAAACAAGTTTTGGGATCCAATTTTAATTGTCACTCAAATCACAAGATTATATACAGTACCTTAAGGCTTTACTCCCATATTTCTAAAATCACACACAAGATCAAAGAAGCCAGAATGTTATAATAAATTTGCTTTTTTGTTTAACGTTCATTAACTGATTTTTACTATTAATTCTAAGATCAGTAGCTATATACATGATATAGTTTACAAAGTTTTTACTTCAAATCACAAGAGCTAAAGTTAGTTATTCCTTGGCCCAACAGATTGTATAAGACCCAGCTTGCCTTGACAAACTGAATTATTGATGTCACACACATTTCTTGAATAGTATAGATATGAAACCCATGCATGATTTCTTATATGTTTATTCGCTTGTAACATTTTTGGAAATACATGCATGTACCCACATTATTTAGACCAAGTAATGGAAATCTAAATCAAGTCATAGGAATGTTGTCAGGAATAAGTCTACATGTTATTACTAGACAATTTCACGTCAGAAATTCCCATTTCAGTCCTTACAACAACGGTACAGGCAAGATTTGTATATGAGCACCCATGACCAAGTCAATCTGAAGTTACAACACAGCGTCAATAAAATTTCATTATGTAACCCCAATTGCTTGAGAGATTTACATTTTACAACTGCAAAGTTAACTGCTAACCAGTGCTAACCAAGTCCCTGGATGTCATGGCAGACAAACTCATGCCAAAAATGTTTCCCATATACATGTACTGAAATTCCACAGAATTTGCTGCAGAAAATCATTTTAAGGTTTACTATGTACACAGCATAATTTCAGAGCTCACACTACTACTCAAGAATGTTCGTTAAAACATTTTGATTTTTGTCAAAATAAATTTGTTACTTCTTTCATCCATTTATTACATTAAAAACGTTATATTCCTTTCCAAATCGCATGTCAAACAATGTTTATTTTTGTAAATTTTTCTTGGTAAGCCATTGAAATATTTATAAGAGCGATGGATTGGTGTGTACCAATTTTGGTAGATTATCGTCTTGAAGAGGTCAATGCTTGCAACATTTTGATTTTGTTCAAATTTGTTTTGCTTAACAATTATTGACTTGTGAAAGTTTTGTTTTGAAATAAAGGAGACAACCCATGAACCATACAATTTTAGACCTCCATGTCAGAGTCAAAAGCATAATTAGACTTATTTATGTCTGAGCTGCGACTGACAATAAGATCAACTTTTGTTTATTGAGTTTTCCTGAAGTGCACTTGCAATTTGCCTGCAATGTTTTAGGTTTATTTAACAATACTTAGTTTCAAATGCTGCATGGCATACTGTTGAGCATACAGTAAATTTTTTTCACAGGCCCTATAAAGAATACAAAATACATGCTTTAATTTTATCCTTGTATAAAATTAGACATAATTATATATCATAATATGTACATGTACATACAAGTGATCATCATTGAAAACTAATATACATGTAAAGGTTATTTTGATGTTTCCATTTCAAATCTAAAAAATCTCATGGAAGGAACATATACATATACTGATAATCACATTTACTTGCCTCCAGGTGATTTTATATTGTTCAATTTTGAAACACCTGTTAACTTTATAAAGATAAAGGGCAACTACAACATGTACTACAGTGTGCATGTGCGTAACTTCCTGCTGTTACATTGATATTATATAGCCACAGTAGCCAATAGGCATTTTAAACTTTTTGTGGACAAATGGTAACAGCTTGGTCAGTTGTCCTTCACAAAAATTTCACTATTAAATTTTCTCATCTACATTTGTACTGTATAATTAATTTATTAGTTTTTGAAGATTATTTAATGTTCCAAAAATATGTATATGAATTTACATAGTACTAGTGTAATGAAATATGTACAGACCTTCCAACTTTCCTGATTCCCCCAGAGGTGTAAACCTGACTCCTGAAATACTCGATTATATAAACTTATTACCTCAAAACAGACATTTAAATCAGTTAAAAATGGCACTAAAGCATATAATACATACATTTATACTAATTCTAATTATAAGTCCGAGTACAAAATGTATATACACATGTAGGATTAAAAACACTTATGACATGTACAATGAAGTATTAATTACAAGAGATACATTTGGTCCTCTTTCTCTTGAGGCAGGAACATGTACATGTATGTACACAACATATGTTGCATTTTGGGAAGGTATTGTTATTATACCCCCGTTTTAAAAAAGTGGGGGTATACTGTTTTACCTCTGTCTGTCCGTCAGTTCGTCCGTCTCATGAATATTTTTCGTTGCATCTTTCACAGAAACTACATTACAAGGATTTCTGAAATTTGGTTTCAGGGTTTAAATGAGTCAGCTATACCGTGTAATGCTTTTGCAGATTCATCACTCAGCAACTTCCTGTTTACCTTATACTTTTAGCGGGGCGGGGGTATCATTAGTGAGCAGTAGCTCACAGATTCACTTGTTTTACCTCTGTCTCTCTAGTGGTCCACATATATAGGGTGCATGGTTTGACAGCATTAATCATGTTAATACTTTTATAATTCCCAAGATGCCACAACAATGCATTAAATTTGGATGTGTTGTTAAAAGTGTTAACATTTTATGCTACTGTTTATATTTAGTATGCCCAAAATGCTTGACAAATATATTTAATGTTCCAAAACTGTGAAATATTATTTTATGATGCCCTGGGAAGACTGATAATGGTGTAGTAGAATATTGTGTTTCAGACTACATATTTATATTTCCTAAGATCACTGTTTATAAAAATTGGACAAATGCAAACAAGAGTAGAAGGGAAGCACATACATGTACACATGATACATGTATGTGCTTCCAATATAATATTGTTTTCGTTTGAGCATGGGAACATATTAACTAAAGGTAATAAGTTGAAATACTGTGTATTAAATTTTTTATTGAAAATATCTCAGTCCAGTTGGACTGAATATCTGTAAAACATAGAAAAAAAAGATTAAAAGGAGGGGGGCCCAAGTGGGTGTAAGTATCTTTGTGTCTATCAAGAAATTCTTTACACGTATAATTCAAAAGATTAAGATATCATGCTTTCCTAAAATCCTATAGTCATATTTACATGATAATTTATATTTTTACTGGGGATTATTGCATTCTAATATTGGTTACTTTCTACAAGAGAGTTTTATGTTGCTTTATCAATTAGGATTGAGTAGTGTATAAGTTACCTTCCACAGGAGAATATGATACTAAACGATACAATGTTTCATTTCATTCAAATCTATAGTCTGATGGTCATATCAGTTGTAATACTGGCATTTATGCAAAATTCTTCCCTATTTCTGTCTGTTTACATATTGATTTTTTCAAGAAATTTATCAGATAATTTTTCTATAGAGCTTTTTGCTATGCAATATTCATGATTTATGAGTAACATTTATGACATGTATGATCATGATAATATACATGAATTATGAAATATAATCTGTTTTATATTAGAATGAATTTGAATTTGTTTTAAGAAAAACTACTCCATGTCATTGCCTATAAACAGTATTCTAGAAGGAGACTAACATACAAGACAAGTATCCATAATAAAATTGGACTGGCTTTGTTTTAAATTGAGTACATGGAGTCATGGATTTGAAATGTTTTATAATTCAAATCAATAATTTTCAGTGTCGGCTATGAATTTAGATGAATAAAATCAGGTTATAAATATATTCTGAAACTTAGATTTCTTACAAGTTAAAAGCTTTTAAGAAAACCATGTATAGATTTATTTTTAGAAAACGTGTATTCTTTAAAGAAAATTACCATGTTTATAGAATGTTTTATCATTGAGTTTGTTAAATAAGTGAAAGTTTGTTAAAATGCCTGTGGAGTTGACATTTAAAAGATCACGTTGCCTGAAGGACCTTGTAAGCAATCGTCCTCCTGTTGGGTGTATTGTTCGGCTGATAACTTTTAAAGAATCTTTTCCTCTACATAAGTTTGGCTTATTAAAACCAAACAAAGTCATGATTAATCTTAAGGGGCTAGTTTCAAAATTAAACTAATGTTCCTGACCACCAACATCTTTACATTTTATGAAAAACAGAACATATATACTTAAAATATAATAATGGATTATATTGGAATCTACTGTTTCTGAATAAGCTCATTGACAGTATTTTTTTTTAGATTTTATTGATTTTTGGGTTGAAGATTAGTAATCAAAACTCTTATGTTGCTGGCTTGATAGTTAATAATTTTACAGACTTTATCACTACTTTTGAGATAAAAAAAAAACAAACAAAAAAAACATAGTGCATTGAGCAAAACATTCTCAAATATACTATCCATGAACATTGCAAGAAAATCAATGAAACACTCAGTTATAATGGAAATTCAACTTTCAAGTTACAAAATGATATATGTATGTGTATAACCATACTTATCAAGAAAATTACATAATTGTGCATGGTGCAAGAATCTATTATATGTTTTTTAAAATATTGATGATTTCATTGTTTATAACTTAAAGTATTTTAAAACAAATTTTTCTATTGAAGTATTTTGTTTGAAATGTAATATGAATGTTCAATTAATAGAAATTGTAACAAAGGATATGGGGTATCCATTCATGACACAAAATCAGTACATGTACAGCAAAAACACACAAAAACCACTTTTATTGCTGTTCTTCATCTCAAAGTCACAGTGAGGCTTTAACATGGAGCAAAAAAACTAACACCTCAATGCAAGTTTAAGACAACACATAGCACTGGCTTGAGTTGAATTCTTTGCAAAAATAATTCAGATAGACCAAATTGGGCCCAGTCAAAAAGAACATACTGGAAAGTAGTACATATCATGCATATTTAAAAGAAAATAGTTCCTACGCATAAATAATATTTTTTTAAAAAGAAATTATCATTTCTGAGTTTTTATTATAAAATTAACTAGCAAATTAGTGTTTCAGGTGTTTTACAGTACCGGTACTAATAATCTATCTCAGGAAAAGTAAATTTGCGAGTTAATTTTGTAGTGATGTGAAAAATCATTAAAATTTTGATGTTAAAATTTAAAAAGATAATCTATGTGAAGGAAGGTATAACATTTGTTCATGTTGTAGTCTAGAAATTAAAGTGTCATAGCAAATTTAACCCATTTTAATCTTAAATAAAATAAAAACTCAGAAATGATAATTTAAAAAAAAAAAGAATATTACACAAAGTACATGTAATAACTACATGGTAATGTTTTTGTTTGTTGTAGGGTGATTACCATTTTAACTACATGGTAATGTTTTGTCTGTTGTAGGGTGATTACCATTTTAACTACATGGTAATGTTTTGTCTGTTGTAGGGTGATTACCATTTTAACTACATGGTAATGTTTTGTCTGTTGTAGGGTGATTACCATTTTTACTACATGGTAATGTTTTGTCTGTTGTAGGGTGATTACCATTATGAGTATACAGAATGTGACATTGATGGTGGCAGATGGAGAGTCCAAGTACCTAAGAAACCAAACTCATGTACAGGTGGGGCTCCACATCCTGCTGTCAGGGGAAAAAGTTGTGGTAAGTTTTTAATACTGGGATATACTTGTTCAAATGCATAAGATAAATATTGTTTAATTTTATTTCCCAATTGATCTATACATGTAGTAAATAATCACTTTGAGACTAACTGTAGGTGACTTATGCTTATTATCATACTTCCTGTTAAAATGATATTTTTTGTTGGTTAATGCTAGGACTCTCTAGGAGAACATTCTTTTCTAACACATGGCTCAGAAGATAAAAAATTTTAATTGTGACCCTCTTATAAGTTGGTTGCTTGCATGTTGAAAATTGAACCATCTTGAGTGAAGAAATTTTTTTACCCTCTGGCAAGAAGAATCTACAACAAACAAATCTGTTATTGTAGTATAGGTATAACATGGTTTGGGGGGAATAAGGGGTAGCATCACAATATCTTTAATATCTGTGCCATAATTACTGAAAAATTCGAGTCTGATTGGGAAAGTATAAATGCAATTTTTATGCCATCTGGGAACTTGTTCAGCAGGAAACAACATTTCAGAAGCACTAAAAACTACTGTTTTCATGCTATGCCTACAACAGTACTTAGTAGTGTGTTCACGTATCAAGTTCACCAGGATGTTGATGTCAAATCAACTGGATACTTACGGGTAGTGCATATGTTCTTTAAGATCATGAAGATATGAACTATTTAAATTATATATGCCAAATTATGGATTAGACCCTGATTTCACATTCACTGAACATTGAAATATGAAAGTGAGAGTCTGGCATCATGTCCTATGGAGACACATTCTTGTTAAATAAATAATTCTCTTGTATCAGAATTATCAACTGAAAAGGGGAATAAAAGTTTGCTTTGAGGAAGTATGTACAAATTTTTGCTTGAAAAATTACCTATCTTAAGATAATAATAGATAATAACTAGATGCCATGCTAGTTTAAATCTATCCCATGAGAACTATGTGTAAAATATAAATCAAAAATGCAAAATTGAACAAGACACATTTTAATTTTATGATTGATAAACGAAGCTATGAAAACAAAATATATTGAATTGTAGATTACCTATGTTTCTTGTAGATTTCACATGTGATAAAGGACAGTATTTAGATATAACAGGAGACCAGGAATGTAAGCATTGTCAAGCTGGTACATTTTCCCTTGGTGATGGCATCAGATTTGAAAATTGGGATAAAATTCCAGAAGGATTTACCTCTACAGCAGAGTCATTCAGTTTCCGCCATTTTGAAATGGGAGAAGGAGAGGAAGCGGACACAGTGAACTGTTCAAGGTTAATATAGAAAACTTGACCAAATCATTCTATTAGACCCTTACAGCCTATAAAGATCCTCATGACAATATCAGATATATAAATGATAATTTATGGAGGAAAAAATCATTTTATTTATTACATTGGTTGCAGTGAAAACATGATTTCCTAATCAATAAAAAAACTGTTTTTCACTCCTCTGACATCAACTTCATTCAAATTAAACATGTTAAAAGTCAACTTAATATAATGAAAAAATAGGGTCCAACTCTACCTCACATATGTTCACTAAACTCTATACATATCTAGGTATATAAGAAGTACATGTTGTAGATGTTTATTAGGTTACATGACCATTTATTTGAATACAAATCGGCCGGGACTTCTTGATATGGCCGGTATGAGGGGAGAACTGGTATTCAGAGGGACCGGTTTAGAGAAGTTTCACTGTATGTTATTAAATATTTATGTAGTATATATATTCATTTTACAGCAATTCTTTTACTGCCAAAGGAAGTTATCTGTCTGTAACTCCAGGAGATTGCAATGCTCAGTTGACATACTCTGTTAATCTAGTCAAGACAGGCTCAATTCTTTTTGAGTTCCAGTATCCGGAGGAATCAGAAGGGTCTGCTTTGTTCCATTTTACAGTAAGTATATTAAAATATGTTTAGCTAAGAGAATAGTATTGAGGAAATTAGGATAAATATTTTTTTAATAATGACCTCAGTTTCTTAAGGAAATTATATTCATGATATGATAATTAATCCTTTTATTTTTCCTTCAAAGTGCAATTCATCGATTTTTTAAAAAGTGAAAAATACAAACAAAATTCCTCAAAACACTACACAGAAAACTAACAAAATGAACCCCACTAAAAACCGAGGGTGAACTTGGATTCTGTAGTGGAGTATGCTGTTTCTACTTTGAGATCTGCTTCACAAGTGGCCAGGACATAAAAAAAACTATTTTGTGGTCATTTGTGTCTCACCTGCTACAAAATTCCTGGAATGCAAGACAGAGGTGTTGTATTTCCCATGTTGTCAACAATTATTTAGTTTTCTTCTTGTGTCAGTTTGATAGGAACTACTTGTGATAAATCAATGATATTTTCTAAAAAGTTGCATTACTATCAGTACATAACAGTTTGACAACTATTTCCAGGCCCTGCCCCGTAGGTCATTTTCCAGGGACTTTCAGTCAATAAGCAACTTTTAATGTTCATTTTGGTAAACATTTTACATAAAACTTTGGCACATAGAACTTTAAAGAGGTACTTAAACACACATAACAAGTAACTCTTATCTAAAAGGTCAAAATAATTGATCAAAAATGGAAAAAAAACCTATGCAATTTGGTCCACTAATAGCAGAGATAATTGCGTGTAAAGTTCAACTGTTTTTACCGTAGGAAAATCCAATCAACGCTTCTTCCGGAAACAGCACTTAAAATAAATCTACCGGAAGTGATGCACACAGGGTTACATCTTCGGCTTATCTAAACGTTGATGAATATAAACTTTTTCCTGATCATGGATTAAAAAGTACTGCCATGAATTACTCTACCCCTTCAAAGCTCATTCTTTATTGGAAACAATTTATCAAAAGAAAACAAAATGTTTTAGAAGGCAAGTGTATTAATAATGTTTTTCAATTGAAAAAGGGGGATGGAATGGGGTCTCTCAACATTGAGTTTTCAACCAAATAAAATGTTCCTGATCGTAGGAAAAAGAAAATTAACGGTCAATAAATTATATTCTAGCTATTAAATATTTTTATGCCCCCGTCATAGCGGAGGGAGGCATTATGTTTTACCCTTGTCTGTCCGTCAGTAAGTCCCAAAGTTGGTTTCTGTTCTCTAACTTTCGTTTGCCTCTACCAAATGTTATGAAACTTACACACAATGCTTATTACTACATAATACAGATCAAATTTGAATTTTGGTGGTGTCACTTTAACAGTTCCAGAGTTATGTCCATTTACAAATGGAAAAATATTATGCATGCAAAGAATATATTTATTGGCACCATGAAACCATTTAAGTACCAAGCCACTTTGACAAATTGTTATCTTAACAATTATTTTCTCATTATTGATTTTTTTGGAATAAATTTTGTTTACAAAGTGTGATATATAATAGTTCTAGAAAAAATACAAAAATGTTTTTGAAAATAAATGTTTTCTTATTAAAAAAAAGAATAAACTCAAAACTGAATTGTGACTTTTTGTCCTGTGACTTTCTGTCCTACATTCGTCTTTATGTAGGACTATGATGTGACCTGATATAACATTAGTATATATTAAGTTATTAACAATATAGTTACATTAGGTCCAAGGACTATGGGAAACCCTATGACAATCATATATACTTATACTGCATGATTTCCATTGTAAATTTTTGTTTGATTTTTAAACTTCTGTATAGATTAATTACAAGTCTATTAGGTATTTCATTTTTAAGGGAATAGCTTGATACACATTATGGTTTCTAAACCAGTCAAGCAGATTACTGTGACTGACAGTACGCAATTCTTCACATTATCTGGAGAATAAACCTATAATTTTGAAATGCTGCTGTAACTATTAAGTCAGTCGGTAAGTAGGTAAGAACATTACAAAGAAAGAAGAAACGCACATTATAGCAGATCTGTGCCTCTAATTATAGCAATCATTGGTCACGATATAACATGAGCTTAGATAAACCTTTAAACAGGCTATATATAACCTCGGCTTCATAGCAGTCTTCTAAAAAGTGAACTTCTCATATGACAGTTTTTTGTAGCCCAGAAAAACCCACATACATGTAGTTAATTTAACAACAAATCAACAAGTTTTGTCCTCAGTCGTCTTTTGGAAGCACGTGTTGAGAGTGACCTATTTTAAAAACCGTTTCTCAGCCGGGTAACTTCACATGCACGCTTCTACTTCTACCATCACTCGATCACCATCAATAAAATGATTATTTTGCCACTTTTGGAAGCGCATGTAAATATTTTATAGGCAAAAAGGTTGATTTGTGTTTTTGAAAGTTTTTCAATACTTTTTTTAATTATAAACATTTGAATAAAATATTTATGCAATTATCAAACCTCGATAAATGTATATCAATATTCTCAATGTAGTTTCGATTGATAATTGTCACCGATATATCCAAACTGTTATTTTACTTTGCGAGCTGACCAGTTTACATACGATATAATATACATATTTGATCAGGCTGACCCAGTATACGTCACTTCGGTTGGGTAGAATTAGAGGGTGTTAGTGGCATGTTTTACTAAATCATTCAGATGTGCAAATGACAAACAGACAGTATTTTGCAAATATCTTGATAATTACAAGATGAAATTTTATCGGGTTTTTTGCGTTTTTCGACAATTATTTCGAACTTTAAAATTATTCAAAAATATTTTTTGCGTTTTCGTACCTCTTTAATTAAAAAATACAAAAAAATTGTGCATTTTCTCTTTTATTTTCTGAATTATAACTGATTGAAAATTATTCAAAAAAGCTGAACATTTGTATAGAAAGCATATTAAATCGTCGAGAAACGTTCTTAAATTTGTCTTAAAGTCATCAAATCTCCAATTAAGAGATAACTGTATTGTATTTGAAGCTTTGCGGACGTTAAGTTTTCTGCTAACATTAGTTAGATAGGAACTTCTAATGATAGACAATAATATTTTCCATAAAGTTGCATTACTACCAGTACATCTCAGTTTGACAATCATTTTGACACACTGCCCTCTATGTCATGGTGCAGCAACTTTGAATAAACTAGCGAGGTTGCAGTCCATCAGATTGTATTTTTCTGAACTTTTTGCTGACTGGCGAGACTTATCTCTGTGTCAACAGTTTATTGATACATGTATGGGTACATATATAATCCACAACATTTCAACAAAAGTACATGTAACTATATATTAATGAAAAATATCACATGCTTACCACTTCCTTGCAGTTAGACTTTAAAGGGTTTTGAAAATAAAAAACAAAATATCACTTTATTAAGATGTAACATTGGAAAGCTTTGCAGAACAAGCTAATACTAACAAGTTAGAAGATATAAGTAAAGTGTCTTTATTGTGAAATACACATAATTGGGCATTATTTTGGATTTTTATGAAATTTTGTATGCATTTAGAACTTGAAATTTTGAGATTGAAAAATAACTATGAAGTATAAATACTTCCAAAGATACATTCAATTAAAAGTTTGTAAAAAGATCTATAGATATTTAGAAAGCACATAAAACCGATGTAAAACTGCATTTTTTTGTCTTTGAATTAAGATATCTCTCAAACCTATCCTAACAATTTATTTACAAATTCTATATTATAAATAAAGATGTTTATTGCAATAAGCAAAATTATGTTATAACATTTTCAGCTATAACATTCCCATTTGTAAGCATAATGAAATTTATGATAAAATAATTGAACAGCATAGGTCAAACACATTATACATTATAAACACTATCTTTGTGAAAGTTGCTACAAACTTTCCATTTTAATGATATGAAATTTAAATGTAACAAATTTTTGCTTGGGATGACATGACTCAAGTTTGCCTTTAGCCATTTATTCATATTTTCTAAATTATTGAAAATGTTAGTCTGCATGTTTGTACTTTTGGTTGACAATTTTCACTCATAAAACTTTTCATAATGATTGTCAGGAATGGGCATATCATGCACTCTGGGCACAGCTTTTTACATTTAAGGGCATACGATACAGTAGAGATCCCTCGTTGATTTTTTCTTGAAATTTTGGTAGAAGGTCAATTTTGATGTGTACTTTTTAAATATGCAAAGAAAAATATACCTTCATGACTTACTTTTTGAGATAATTTGGTTCGAAATTTGCATATTTGAAGGAAGTACCCCGAAATTTCAAAAATCAGGACTTTTAAGGAAAATACCAATACTTTTGAACGAACAGTCATAATTTAACCGGGTTTTTTGTAAAATGTTCCCTTGATCCATGGCATCAGCATGCTGTAACAAGTGAACGGTTGAAATAAATAATTATATCCTAAATTCTTTTAATACAAGTGAAATAAAGAAGATGAAAATATTTTTGCGTCTACACAGAAGTGTAGAAAAAATTCTATCGTTGATTTTTTCTTAAAATTTTGGCGGAGCGTTCTTGAAACAGAACTTGATTGATTGCAAAAGAAAAAACTGGGGGTCCATGTGCTTGTTTTTTCAATAAAAGCAATAAACCTTAATTTTTATTGGCAAACGGGACGTTTGCCAATAAGGCGCCAAACTACGTTGGAATAAGTTTTATTCGCAACAACGTCGTGAAATCTTTCCCGCCGTTCACTACTACATTGTCAATATTTCAGTGGTAGACCGAAGGTGTTTTTTTTTCACCAATGATATTAATCATGAAAATTAATAAAGCTGGCTCCTCGTAAATAGCATCATATTTGCCAAACCTTTATGAATTGTTACGAAACTTGGATAGAAAAAGTATTCTAGTAAATTACTTTTAGAAAAGAAATATTCGGAAACATAACAGATATATATAATAAAAAAATTTTAATTTGCATCTCTGCACTTCCGACATTAGTCATACAATTCATGTAGACAACACAGCTTGAACATAGTTTTAATTATTCAAAAAGCCCCGACATGACAAAATGTGCAACAATTATAAAGTAAGGGGGATGATATAAAAAAAAGGACATTTGGTATGATTGCAAAAGAGACAACTATCAACCATAGTTCAAATGAGGAAGATAAACGCTATTAAAGGTATTAACACTAACCCTACGGCCTTCAACACAAAAAAAAAATTTAAAAAATGCCACACCGTATAGTCAGCTTTAAAAAGCCCCGACATGAAAATGTGAAATAATTCAAACAAGAAAACTAACAACCTACTCTATAGGCATTACATGAACACAAAATCATACCCACATTAAATCGGGTCAGCTTAGTCCATTACAGTGTAGTATAACATTTCATACAGCAGTCGATATAAGAGCATGAAATTTAATGATTCTGTATCAATAGATAAGTTACCTAAGCTTGTCTTCAGGGTATTTTTTTTTATTACGGTACATATAATCATTGAATTACTTGTCTGTATTATACCTTCAATCTAGGAGTGAGTGCAACCACATTGTTTGTCCGGTCCAACAAATATTTTGTTTCTTATCTGAGAAACTACTTTACAAAAAGACTTCGTATTTGTTCAGTAACTTAACATCAATGAGTTGAAACTCTGGTCTGTCAAATACCTAATTCCTGTGTGCTGATTTTTCTCTCTCAATATGTACATAGAGGATATGCTTAGCACATCAACGGGTGCGTTTTTGTTTTGGGGCTATAATACGGGGCTTATAACTGTGTCATTTTAACTGACAGGTCTTCTCCATACACATATATATTCCACAGGTTAAATTCTAAAAATGTCGTTAAACTCTTTATTGTACCTTTTCAAAGTCAGGAACAGTAAGATGCGCTGTCATTATTTATTACGTTTTTTTTGTGAGCAAAATGGTGAAGTTACTATATAAATTACTTATTGTTTTGGTTTTTTTTTTGTGTAGTTGGGTTTCTCTCTCATCGACGTCTTATGTTTTTCATATCTCTTATTCATTTCCTATATGAAATAACAGACATACAAAGTTAAGAATGTGGATTTGATTTTTTTCCAATTCGAAGTTAATATTGTTGACTTCCTAATGAATAAATATAATAATTCTCGTGATTTGGCCGATTTTCAAATTCGCGCAATCGGGATTATGACGTCAGTGGATTTTCCGCAAATGTGACTACATCTAAAGCGACGTCGCGAAATGTAATCGTTCTTATTAGAAACATCGCGAAATTACAACGTTCTGAATAACAACGTCGCGAAAACAACACGAAAAGTTTTGAAAACGTTCTTATCTGCCCCTGCTACTGTATCGTATGCCCTTAATATGATTAATTGCTATTTATTTTTTAGATTCAAAATGACCAATGTGAATCTGACTTTGGACATTCACATAACAACCAATGGCCAGCAAAAACTAAAAGTGGAGCTTGGGGACATATTAGTGTAAGTAACATCAAAGTATTTTATGTGGTTCTCTACCATGACTACGAGTGGGGGCTATATTTTGTGTACCAAGTCAGTACAGCAATCTGTTTATCCAACAAACATTTCCAACACGCTTTTTTTTTAGGTAATACTGTAAATTCAGAAATTATTGCGAGGTTTTTATTAATGCGAATAATGCGAGCGGCCTACGATCGCAATAATTAAACCTCGCATTCTTACTTTCATTTTTCCCTCGTCAATTTGTGATTGATTTATCTCCCTTTGTTCAGTGGTGTGATGTAAGTAACCTTTCACCTGGGGCATTTAAGGGTAATGTGTTTTTACAACTTATTTCCGCTAATCTGTGTAATCAGTGAAGCCAGGTGACATTTTTATAACACTTTGACTTTTAATTGGAAATGTGCCTGTAATTTGTTTATGTTTGATCAAAAGCTGCCGGGAATTTTTATGAATGAGAAAATTACTATTGACATGCTGTTCGATTCATGTATCCAGTGACAAATTACGATGTTACTTTGTTTTGTTTATATTGTTTGTAACTGTTCAATGAAGCATGTGTATTTTCGGTATAAGTAAACACCTTTAGAAAGTGAGAAATAAAAAATTATCTAATAATATTTATTACAATAAATAAATAATAGACAATAAAATAACAAAAATCATCATTAGATAATATTGTTCATAAAGCACAAGTACGGCAATAGTTTTTCAAGAGTCAATTTATAAGTCATCACAAGCTACTATTGTTCATTAAGCACAAGTTCAACACTACATGTAGTTCATTAAAAATACAATTTAACACTTTATACAGTCACTTATACCAGACTTTTTCCAACCTAGCTAGATAATGTCTTTCTTTGACTTCAACTCGTGGAACACTTTACTCAACCATTTAGCATGTAACGGCTTGAGAACAGAAAGTCTTAGGTCAACCTTGTTGATGGTGGATGAATCTTTTAGATCTTCAGCAACCATATCGGCGTACCAGTTTGTAAATTCGTTTTTCATAGCAGCTTTGAGTTCACCATTCACGCTGAGATCCATTGGCTGAAGTTCCCCAGTACAACCCGTGGGTACGAAAACGTGTTGAATCCGAGCCTTCGACAAAGCATCTAGGACTTCTTGACACCTGTGTGCACGGAAAACGTCAAATATGGCAATTGACTGCTGTCCTATCGGCAGGTCTAACTCTTCTTTAACTTTGTCGGTATACGGCACAAGGACAGTCTCAATGTAACGCACCATACTCTGTTCGTTACTCCAGTGGCTCTCTGTGTGGAAAACGTCCCAGTCGGAGGGAAACCGATATTTTGCGTGACACTGGTCTGTTTTACCTTGGTATAAAATCTGAGGTGGTAAGAGACAACCATCTGATGTGCTACCTAGTAAACCTGTAATCTCGCGTTTATCTTCTAAACCAATAATGTCAACTTGCTTTGAGCCCTCCATCTCTAATGTCCAGTTAGATACAGGGACGATCTTTAACCCAGTCTGGTCAAAGTTGAAGATCAGTTGTGGAGGCACGTTGTACTTGGTAACGGTCTCGGTGATGATGCGATGAAATTCACTTTTTTGGTGCTCAAAGTCATCTGCCAGTTTTCTGGCTGCTTTGGTACCTTTTCGCTTGACGTACCCAAGTCTTTTTAGGAAGGATACGGCCCATGTCTTGGTGATATGTATCGATCCACCAGCTTCACTGAGTAGTGTGGGGTTTTTGTGTCTGACAAGTCCACGGGCTGTTGCAATAACGATAGCTTGGTTTACGATGCCACTGGCTTCTCTGATGCTGCGTATGTGGGCTCCTACATCTTTGTCTAAATCACCAAGAAGTAGTGGCCTACCACGTTTTTCTGGTGTCAACGCATTGACAGGTTGGTGTTTAGATTCTTTTGAGTTTACAAGATATTTCTTTTTCATGGCTCGTACTGCACTTTCTTTAATGTCAAGTTGGAGGTCTTTGCTAAATTTGCGGGCAGCGGCAACATTGCCATGTTCAGTGGCGTATTTTGCTATTTTAGCACAGGTCTCTGGTGTGTAGTGGTTGTTGCTGGCTTTTCTCTTGACCCCTGCTTTGTGCTGGTAGTTGACTCATCAGTAGCAAGAGAGTTGACAATTTCAGTGTTAGCGGCTTTTATCTTATCAGCTGCATCTTTGTTGATAGCGTTATCAGGATCGGGCAACCTCAAGACGATGTCGTCAGGGGAGCGTTTCTTTGTGACGTACTTCCACATGGACATTTTTTTAACCTTAATGGCGTTTAAAAAAAATCATTCCTATTTATGTCTAAATGAGTCTTTGCTAATCAACGCTGATTTATTAGATGTGTAATTAAATTTATTTGTAACAATGTGCCACAAGCCTAACACTTTATGATGAATCTTATTTTTCTCAACTTCGCTTGTATGCATAAAAGGACTCGGAAGCCAAACCTAATTTACTCCAGGTGATTGTGATTATTGACTTTTAATATTTTAATTTATTTTCCTTTGAAGCTAAAAATATCCTATAATTACCCAAGCCGGGCCTCGCTCTACACTAATCTTCAGCACGTGGTCAATGTTCGATTAAGTTTCTAGATCCCCAAAGTAGGCATGTACAACAAATACAGTACTAGTAATTGAACTTAGTTTCTAGATCCCCTTTACAAGTTACATCAGATAAGAATTGTGTATTCAATCACAGAAAACATACGGAAGGTAACTTGATCCATAGATTAAAATAAACATTTTGCGAATAAAAAATGTAAATATCTGTGACTTACAATAATATTTAGCTTAAAAAAAAAATTTTTGAGGTCGGCAAATCGCAAAAATAAAACCTCGCATTTTTGCCGGTGGTCGGCGAATCGCAACAATAAATGCACGCAATAATTTCTGAATTTACAGTACTGTCACAGAACAGAATGACATCATATTTGGTCAGCAGCTCGACTGTGATGAATTGTAGCCTGTGAACACTTTTTGGATCTGTCTTGCACTAACTTTTTGTTTGTTGATACTTTAAATACTGTAAATTCAGAAATTATTGTGGGCATTTATCATTGGGATTTTTTAAGAATGGACAAAAATGCAAGATTCTTTATTGTGATTTCAAGAAAAGATGTATACAGATTTATGTATTAGATATCAGATTGTGAGTTCTTATTATTGTGATATTTGGCGAATCACATTATTTGTATTAAAATAAAAACCTAGATAAGTTGAAGTTGGAGGGACCTGACATAACTATTCGTCTCATCTGAGGTCACGAGTTCATCATGTTAAACACTTTTGATATTGTATCTTGTGTTGTTAGTCTGATATGTAATGGCAGATAACATATTTAGTATCCCATATGTATCCACAGTACATGCAGTATTAAAATTATAGGTTTCCTAATGAGTGAGATTGGATATCGCTTGATATCATCTCAAGTTATTTAATTTCATTATTATAATAAACAAGTCTTCGGCGAGTTTATAATTACTATTTAGATTAAATAGAGAGAGTTGATATCAAGCGATATCTAATTCTCACGAGTTGTTAAAACTATTTCTCTTCTGGTTAACACACTTTTTGTGTTAAATTAAAAATTCCATGAATCATTGATCTAGTCTTTTGCACACACCATGAGTGACGTCATATGTCCTTTTCCAGTGTCAAACTTTAACATCAGACATTTTAAAACTTTTTGTACGATTCAGAATATAAAAAAAATTAACAAAAAGAAGATTTCCAGGTGAAAAGTGTGAGTGTTTTGTATATTATTGAAGAAATCACATATGTCCGTTGCCATGGAAGAAATGTACATTGTCTTTACCTTTGAAAGTTATCAACGACCTAACGAATAGGCAATGGAAATGTTGTTATATCGTCACATGATACTGGATAAGCCAATCAAATTAACACAGTTTTTGAATCACTTTTCCGTATCACACTCTGTGCAGTGTGATACGAGATATATCTCTTCATGCAAGAAATAGATAACAGGCCACAACCATAAGAGAAAGTAATTTATTGCATAAAAAACGAGACAGAATTGACAGTCACATCTGATGTTTACCAAGATAAGGAAATATAAAATATGAAAGTACTTGTGAAACGAAACTTATCATTACAGATGTAAAATTTTTCAAATTTCTCCTAGCCGATATCTGCAGAGGTCAAGTCTAAATCTTTTAACAAAAGTTTGGTCAGTTTGATTATGCATTGATCTTTTATGAATTTTTGGGCTTGGGTTTATTAATTGGTTCCGTAATTATCTTAGGTAAAATAAGTTCCACAAACTTAATAGTTACCGCATGGTCAAACATCAAAGTTGTCAACAAACAATAACTTGAATAAGTGTAATATGCCAATCTGATTGAACTAGAAGTTAGAACTAATTAGAAAAATTATTTTGATGCCCAATAAAAACATACAATTTCAATATTTGATTAATTATTTCGAACTAAAGTTGTTTTTTTTTTCCTTCCAAAATGTCTTTAACTTCAAGTTTCAACACATTGGAGTAAATTTATGATCATTTTCGTTGAACAGACTTCGAATTATACTTGAGTTTACCGATATTTCGAACCTGTTGAGTCGACTCATCAGAGTTAGAAATGCCTTGAACAAACTGGAATTCTGCCTTGTGAACAAAATCCCTTGACTTATCCAAGTTTTCAAAACCGAAATCGACACCATGAGGTTCGACTGTGACTGTAAAAACCTGGATGGGAAATATAGATTTTTATTTAATTGCTTCAGATGGAATCACATATTGACAACAACAAAAAACAACAATATTGCAGCAAAAAAGCATTGTGCTTAGCAGCTGACACACACATCTCTAATGTCTCACCACTTTAGAAGTCATCTCTCCCTATGATTATGTAGTATTGTGAACAAGGGTATTGCAGTAGACAAGTATTATAGACTCAGGATTGCCTTGATTTGAACTAATTTTGTTTTCTTTTTAACAGACCAAATTGGACAAAGGATTAAATGTATTGAAATGGAGAGTAGTTGGAATAGGTTCAGACAGAAGTAAACAAACAAATACACCTGTACTGATTAGAAAAATTGAAGTTAAAGGTAAATTGACATGATGTAGGAGATAAGGAAATATAATTCAGTTATTATCTGGTCATCCATTTGTCCATCTGAGCATGTGTCGGTCAACATGCTCAATTCATTTCAGGCAGATATTACAAATTATAATTGTATTCCTCGTTTTTGAGACCCATCAAGGATATTTACCAAGGTAATGACAGACATATATTGTTGATTTTGTTCCACATTTAGTATACATTTTAAGGGTCAGAAGGGCTATGACACACCGTAATATGTCTAGCTCCTTTTTATTTTCATATTTTACTTCCCTGTTCATTTCAGTGAAACGTAGATGTTTTATTATTGTGACATCTTCCTTGCTTCTAGTTATGTATTTATTGAACTAATAGAAATAATAGAAAATCTAAAATGGATATATAGGTTACTTTTTATACGACCGCAAAAATTGAAAATTTTTTGGTCGTATATTGGTATGACGTTGGCGTCGTCGTCGTCGTCGTCGTCGTTGTCGTCGTCGTCGTCGTCGTCGTCGTCTGGCGTCGTCCGGCGTCGTCCGAAGACACATTGGTTTTCGCACTCTAACTTTAGTTTAAGTGAATGGATCTCCATGAAATTTTACCATAAGGTTCAATACCACGAAAGGAAGGTTGGGATTGATTTTGGGGGTTATGGTACCAACAGTTAAGGAATTAGGGGCCAAAAAGGGGCCAAAAATAAGCATTTTTGTAATTCCAGACAATAACTTGTGTGTAAGTGTATGGATCTCTCTGACATTGTACCACAAGGTTCCATATCAGAAAGGGAAGGCTGTAATTGATTTTGGGGGTAATTGCCTCAAAATTTTAGGAATTAGGGGCCAAAAAAGGGTCAAAAAACAAGCATTTTTCTAGTTTCATGACAATAACTTGTGTGTAAGTGTTTGGATATTTCTGAAATTGTACTACAAGGTTCCATATCACAAAGGGAAAGCTGGAATTGAGTTTGGGGGTAATTGCCTGAAACGTTTAGGAATTGGGGGCCAAAAAGGGGCCAAAAATAAGCATTTTTCTAGTTTCCAGACAATAACTTGTGTTCAAGTGTATGGATCTCTCTGAAATTGTACTGCAAGGTACCATACCACAAAGGGAAGGCTGGGATTGAGTTTGGGGGTGATGAATCATAAGGGGGTTCAAAAAATTTGGGGGGGGGGATTTTTTTTTTTTCTTTTTTTTTCTTTTTTTCCTTTTTTTTTTCTTTTAAAATTTTCCATTTTAAGTTGGTTATTTCTGATTAATATTTAAAAGCAAATAATAATGATATGGTAGGAGTTACACACCAAACAGGATGTGTAAATTATTATATAATAAGTATTGTGCAATAGCAAGAAATTTTCAATTGCACAGTATTGCACAATTGCAAGAAATCTTCAATTGCACAGTATTGCGCAATAGCAAGAAATCTTCAATTGCACAGTATTGCGCAATAGCAAGAAATATCCAATAGCACAATATTGCGCAATAGCAAGAAATTGTCAATTGTACAGTATTGCACAAAAGCAAGAAATATTCAATTGCACAGTATTGTGCAAAAGAAGATACTTCGTATAAATTGCTTATTTCTTGATCAATTTCAATGGGGTTTTATTCTTGAATTCTTGGGGTTCTTTAATATGCTGAATCTAACCGTGTATTAAGTTTTTGGATTTTGGGCCCCGTTTTTAAATTGGTCTACATTAAGGTCAAAAGGGTCCAAAATTAAACTTAGTTTGATTTTAACAAAAATTGAATTATTGGGGTTCTTTGATATGCCGAATCTAACCGTGTATTTAGATTCTTGATTATGGGCCCAGTTTTCAAGTTGGTCCAAATCGGGGTCCAAAATTAAACTTTGTTTGATTTCAACAAAAATTGAATATATGGGGTTCTTTGATATGCTGAATCTAACCATGTATTTAGATTTTTGATTTTTGGGCCCCGTTATCAACTTTGTCCACATTGAGGTCAAAAGGGTCCAAAATTAAACTTTGTTTGATTTCATCAAAAATTGAATTCTTGGGGTTCTTTGATATGCTGAATCTAACCATGTATTTAGATTTTTTATTTGTGGACCCGCTATCAAATTGGTTCATATTGAGGTCAAAAGGGTCCAAAATTAAACTTTGTTTGATTTCATCAAAAATTGAATTATTGGGGTTCTTTGATATGCCAAATCTAACCGTGTATTTAGATTTTTAATTTTGGGTCCCGTTTTTAAATTGGTCTACATTAAGGTCCAAAGGGTCCAAAATTAAACTTAGTTTGATTTTAACATTGAATTCTTGGGGTTCTTTGATATGCTGAATCTAAACATGTGTTTAGAATTTTGATTATGGGCCCAGTTTTCAAGTTGGTCCAAGTTGGGGTCCAAAATTAAACTTTGTTTGATTTCAACAAAAATTGAATATATGGGGTTCTTTGATATGCTGAATCTAAACATGTATTTAGATTTTAGATTTTTGGCCCAGTTTTCAAGTTGGTCCAAATTGGGGTCCAAAATTAAACTTTGTTTGATTTCAACAAAAATTGAATATATGGGGTTCTTTGATATGCTGAATCTTACCATGTATTTAGATTTTTTATTTGTGGGCCCGCTATCAAATTGGTTCATATTGAGGTCAAAAGGGTCCAAAATTAAACTTTGTTTGATTTCATCAAAAATTTAATTATTGGGGTTCTTTGATATGCCAAATCTAACCGTGTATTTAGATTTTTAATTTTGGGTCCCGTTTTTTAAATTGGTCTACATTAAGGTCCAAAGGGTCCAAAATTAAACTTAGTTTGATTTTAACAAAAATTGAATTTTTGGGGTTCTTTGATATGCTGAATCTAAACATGTGTTTAGATTTTTGATTATGGGACCAGTTTTCAAGTTGGTCCAAGTTGGGGTCCATAATTAAACTTTGTTTGATTTCAACAAAAATTGAATATATGGGGTTCTTTGATATGCTGAATCTAAACATGTATTTAGATTTTTGATTTTTGGCCCAGTTTTCAAGTTGGTCCAAATTGGGGTCCAAAATTAAACTTTGTTTGATTTCAACAAAAATTGAATATATGGGGTTCTTTGATATGCTGAATCTTACCATGTATTTAGATTTTTTATTTTGTAGGCCCGCTATCAAATTGGTTCATATTGTGGTCAAAAGGGTCCAAAATTAAACTTTGTTTGATTTCATCAAAAATTGAATTATTGGGGTTCTTTGATATGCCAAATCTAAACGTGTTTTTAGATTTTTAATTTTGGGTCCCGTTTTTTAAATTGGTCTACATTAAGGTCCAAAGGGTCCAAAATTAAACTTAGTTTGATTTTAACAAAAATTGAATTCTTGGGGTACTTTGATATGCTGAATCTAAACATGTGTTTAGATTTTTGATTATGGGACCAGTTTTCAAGTTTGTCCAAGTTGGGGTCCAAAATTAAACTTTGTTTGATTTCAACAAAAATTGAATATATGGGGTTCTTTGATATGCTGAATCTAACCATGTATTTTGATTTTGGACATTGGACCATAATAGGTAAATTAAAAAAATTGAAGTTCTTAGACCACATTCTTTCTGTGTCAGAAACCTATGCTGTGTCAAATATTTAATCACAATCCAAATTCAGAGCTGTATCAAGCTTGAATGTTGTGTCCATACTTGCCCCAACTGTCCAGGGTTCGACCTCTGCGGTCGTATCAAGCTGCGCCCAGCGAAGCATTTTATTTGATATTGTAGGTGTGGGTTTTACATCAGTATGTGCACAATGTAAAAGTGGGACATACAGCAGTGAAGGTTCTGAAATTTGTACACCTTGTAAACCTAACACCTATTCCCTACCAGGAGCAGATATGTGTAAACCATGTAACCTGGCTACTGAATATTCATGTAAGTATAAGATATTATGATGCAGCTACTGGATGTTTAAGTAAATATAGAATATTTTGACTGAACAACTTAATATGAGTAAGTGACTGAATATGAACAATGACCAAATGTTTCCAGGGGGTAAATATTGCATATAGATTATATGTACACAAAATTGAAGATTGCAATATATATTATATGGTATGCAAACCTGCATTCAAATTACAAATTATTAGATGAATAAATACCAAATGTTTATATTTATAGATGAAGGAGCTGGTGTTTGTACCAAGAGACCCCCATGTACTAAGGATGACTACTATCAGATCCAGTTACCTTGTGTCAATGGAAAGGTAAAGTGTTTAACATAAAAAAAATGATATTAGCCTGCTTGTATTAATGTTTACTGATATCCTTCTGTCAGTCTGTCTGTCTTCATGACACACACTAACTCAAATATGCTTTGACCGATCTACTTTAATAGATTTTAAAGAAATGTGGTCTGAGGATCTTATGTCTCTCTAGAGTTGTGACTTTAATATTTATAGAATAACTAATCCAAGAATTCAAATCTAAAAAAATTTACTCAACCCGTGACCGAACAACACATTAATTCATGAATGCACATAGTGCATGAGTTAATTGTCAGTGTTGTACAGACATGAGTTGAATATTTTTTGATATTCTAATTTTTGGATTTATAGCTATTCCTTTTTAATACATTGACCATGGACTTTTTAATGGAAATAAAGTAGAAAATGAAAGGAGCTATATCTTTTTCTAAGCATTCTCTATTATTTTGTTGCAACATCATTGTCAACGCCCATTGACGTTAGAGGAGTGAAATTATCAAATTTATTTTACTGGGAAATTACAGTAATTAATCACAACCAATGTAATAATAGATTTTACTTGTTAAAAAATCATTATTTTCAATTGCATAATGTTACAATTAGAAATTAAAGAAATTTGATTTTCTGTTCAATATTTTTTGCTATTAAGGTATTTGTTCTTGTTACAATGTCTGTAAAATGCAGCTATGAATTGTATATTTTATTTGGATAAACTGGATTAACTTGTAAACCAGATGGCCATCTGAGTTAATTGAAAATCTGTAAGATAAAACTAAAATCTGAATATTAAAGTAAATGTTTAATTGAGATATAGTGTGCAAATTTTCAAAAACATGATTTGTTGACAGACCCAGAAATCATTTGAGTGGATACAACCTCAGATTTGTCGTAAAGATGTGTCAGAGTCAATTCAACTGCCTGGTAAAACTAATGCAGAAGACTGTCCACCTTGTAACCCTGGAATGTTTTTATCTAAGACTGCTGGTTGTCAGTTCTGTCCAGATGATCAGATGTCTGATGGAAAAACACCATGTCAGAAATGTTCAGCCTCTACTTCACCAGATTTCAACCTAGAAATGAATTGGTTTAATACAATGCCAAACAACATGTCATCTGAATGTGTACTTTTTTCTGGTAAGGTTTTGTGAGAAGTTGTAATGTTTTCATAATCTGTATTACTATAAAAAAATATTTATTGCTGATGCAGTTTTATGGGGACCAAGAAAAAGACTGCTTTTTACATAATATTTATATGAACAATAATAATATTTGCGTAAAAATTTGAATGAATTTAAAAGACAATTAAGTTATGTATGCGAAGCAATTATCAATAAACAACAGTTATTTACAATATTTCCTGTATTGCAGACAAAACAAATAATAAAATACAAAGTACATATATATATGTCATATGTCATACAGAGCCAGTAAAATTGATATTTTGGACCGTCAAATCCTAATTGATGGCGGCAACTGTTCAACAACAGTACTGTTATTATACCCTGTTATTTGGCGAAACCTCATGAATGATTTTGACACATAAAGGTTATGGCTAAACATGACATCATAAGAATGAAAACTATCAAACTGAAGGTTATTACGTTACTGTTATGATTCAAATTTGCATAATATCACATCAAAACGGCTGTTTTGAGGTAGGTGTTGTTTTATTTCTGATGATATTTTTTCAATATTGTGGCTCACTCCTTAGTTACAACATATCAACTGTGGATTTGATGATAAATTTTAACCAAAGGAAAAATTTGTTACATAAAATTTGCATTAAAATAAGTATTTACTGTTTAAATTATTGACCTTGTATCAGTTGATCCAGTGACCAGTCAGATTGAAACAATAGCATATTTAAAGAACAAGTATTTATATCATCTTAAACTTTTTAATGAAGCATGCTTCAATCAGAAACAATGAGTGATTGGCTAGGAAACAAAACAATGTAAATAGGGTGACCGATTTTCTGGTACTACACAAATCAACTTCTATACATAAGTCATAACCATTTTTAAAATCCATGCTTTTTTTTTTATGGTAATTTGCACATTAGTAATAATTAAGGTAGATTCATGGTATATCGCCATCTTGGATTGTACAATATCAGTACAAAATTGGTCTAGTTCTTTGCCCAAATCTGCAAATTTGGAGACAGATTTGCAATTTAGTGGTTAGATTGTTTAATTATATAAAGAAAACTTTGTGATTTATTGTATTATACAAAATATTTAAGCAAATATCAAATTTTGTGTTTTTAGAATCATTTTTTTCAAATAAGCCATTTAAGGGGAGATAACTCTTTTAGTAAAAAATATATACTGGACTGATAGGGAAATTTTTTATTTTTGTCGAGCCTGCGACTTTTGTCGCAGAAAGCTCGACATAGGGATAGTGATCCGGCGGAGGCGTTAGCTAACTTCTTAAAAGCTTTATATTTTAGAAGCTAGAAGACCTGGATGCTTCATACTTTGTATATAGATGCCTTATGTTACGAAGTTTCCGTCTGTCATATGTCAATTGTCCTTGACCTCATTTTCATGGTTCAGTGACTACTTGAAAAAAAAGTAAATATTTTTTGTAATGTTAATTTCTTTCTTATTATGAGTAATAGGATAACTATATTTAGTATGTGTGTACCTTGCAAGGTCCTCATGCCCGTCAGACAATTTTCATTTGACCTCGACCTCATTTCATGGATCAGTGAAGAAGGTTAAGTTTTCGTGGTCAAGTCCATATATCAGATACTATAAGCAGTAGGTCTACTATATTTGGTATATGGAATGATTGTAAGGTGTACATGTCCAACTGGTAGGTGTCATCTGACCTTGACCTCATTTTCATGGTTCAGTGGTCAAAGTTAAGTTTTTGAGTTTTGGTCTTTTTTTCTAATACTATATGCAATAGGTCAACTATATTTAGTATGTGTGTACCTTGCAAGGTCCTCATGCCCGTCAGACAATTTTCATTTGACCTCGACCTCATTTCATGGATCAGTGAAGAAGGTTAAGTTTTCGTGGTCAAGTCCATATATCAGATACTATAAGCAGTAGGTCTACTATATTTGGTATATGGAATGATTGTAAGGTGTACATGTCCAACTGGTAGGTGTCATCTGACCTTGACCTCATTTTCATGGTTCAGTGGTCAAAGTTAAGTTTTTGAGTTTTGGTCTTTTTTTCTAATACTATATGCAATAGGTCAACTATATTTAGTATGTGTGTACCTTGCAAGGTCCTCATGCCCGTCAGACAATTTTCATTTGTCCTCGACCTCATTTCATGGATCAGTGAACAAGGTTAAGTTTTCCTGGTCAAGTCCACATATCAGATACTATAAGCAGTAGGGCTACTATATTTGGTATATGGAATGATTGTAAGGTGTACATGTCCAACTGGTAGGTGTCATCTGACCTTGACCTCATTTTCATGGTTCAGTGGTCAAAGTTAAGTTTTCGAGTTTAGGTCTTTTTTTCTCATACTATATGCAATAGGTCAACTATATTTGGTGTATGGAAATATTTTATGATGTACATGTCAGTCTCGCATGTTTTATTTGACCTTGACCTCATTTCCACGGTTCATTTCTCAAGTTATGAGTTTTGTGTTTTGGTCTGTTTTTCTTCAACTATAAGCAATAGATCAACTATATTTGTTGTATGGAAGGATTGTAAGGTGTATATGTCTGTTTGGCAGGTATCATCTGACCTTGACCTCATTTTCATGGTTCATTGGTCAATATTTAGTTTTTTGGTTAAAACTGTTTCTTAGAAACTATAAGCAATAGGTCAACTATGTTTGGTTTATTGAATGATTGTAAGGTGTACATGTATTTCTCGTTTGGTTTATCTGACCTTGACCTCATTTTCTTGGATCATGTTAAGTTTATGTGTTACTTGTAGTAAAGCTTTATATTTAGGACTATCAACATAAAATCAATGGTTAGTAAAGAAGGCGAGACATTTCAGTGTGTGCACTCTTGTTACTTGTAGCAAGAAAACAAGTTCGGTGACACCATTCTTTCTTTTTATTTTCTTAAAAGATATTATAAAACCTATCTTCTTACAATTTATTTCCAAATTCTATCTCATAGCATTTTTATATACACACAAATGTGTTTTTTCATGAACAATCTAACCAAATTTAGGCAATTTTCAACGACTCATAGCTTGGAAAATAGCACGTTGGCCCATACTTGTTATTATATTTTTGAAAAAAGCATAGTTAAATCTTCCTTTTGGCAAAGTATAAGAAAATTCTATCTCAAAAAGTATATACTTATGATCTACCTTAAACGGTAAAATTTTCAAGTAGATGAATTTAATTTGAAGAAAGAGTTAAATATAAATTTAAGGCTATTAGTATAACAAAGGACTGTTTGTTTTTATAGATGACACATGTAAGTACAACTCTAGCTGGATGCCGATGGGAGACCACCTAGTGACACACTTTGGTCGTAGTGAGGATGCTTATTTATTGCTGATGCAGACAGTCTCAGGATTTAGAACTACTGAATCGATGGATCACAGACAAATTGTTGGAACTGTGTCATTTGAATTTTCTACCCAGTGCACTGGAAGATGTGAATTTGTTTTCCTTGTAGTAAGCTAATTTTTAAGTTATTTTTTTATTACTTAGGCAGTCTTTGCCAAATAAAATTACATATTTGTTTCCTGCTCCTGTCAGACAAAAATAGGGTTCATAGGTAAGATCATCATATTTTGAACACATATTTTACAGAGAATATAAAGGGTAATGTTCTAGTACTCTTTAACTAGTGGTATTTGTTACTTCTCTGGTCTGCTCTTAGTCAGAGTAATGTGTCCGAGTAAGATAACATGTCTTTCAGTGGACTTTTACTTTGTAAACTAGCAATTCAATCGTCTAGTACAAAGCAGAGTTCATATTAATATCACCTTAACATGTTCTCATCCTGATTATGCAATTAACCTGCCACTTTACTTTAAACAGCCATCCATCATCATTGTCTAACAGTGTTTAACCCAAAGAGTCCATAATATTTGTTAGTGGTGGTTTGAAACAGAAATAGTTGTGTGAATTAAGTTTTTATGCCCCCGCCGTAGCGGATGGGGCATTAAGTTTTACCCTTATACGTACGTCCGTCCGTCTGTACGTCCCAAAGTTGGTTTCCGTTCTCTAACCAAATGTTATGAAACTTATGCACAATGCTTATTACCACTAAATACAGATCATGTTTGGATTTTGGTGGCGTCACTTTTACCGTTCTAGAGTTTTGCCCTTTACTAATGGAAAAGTTGTTAAATTTTTTACAAATGGAAAAATTGCTAAATTTTTCTAAATTTTTCGTTTCTGTTCTCTAACTTAAGTTTGCCTCAACCAAATGTTATGAAACTTATACACAATACTTATTACCACAATATACAGATCAAGTTTGAATTTTGGTGCCGTCACTTTTACTGTTCTAGAGTTATGCCCTTTACTAATGGAAAAGTTGTTAAATTTTTAAATTTTTTTTTCTAAATATCAAGTCATTTTTAAAATTGGAGTTATATTCCTTTGTCCATGATTATAGTTGAATCAACTGCAATCAATGCTTTATACAATGCAATGTTTAATTTTGCCTTCCACTGATAAATTAAAGCAATTTTTACCCTTCATTTCTAAAAATATTTTAAAGTCTTCTTTGAAAATTGGAGTTATCTTTCTTTGTGCATAATGGTAGTTGAATCAACTACAACCAATGCTTTATACAATGCAATATTCAATTTTACTTCTTACTGATAAATTAAAAGAATTTTTACCATTCAGTGCTTACAAGCACTTTGATTACCGTTCTAGGTTTATGCCCCTTTACAAATGAAAAAATTGCTGAATTTTTTGTTTCCGTTCTCTAACTTGAGTTTGTCTTAACTAAATGTAATTTCTAAAAATATCAATGTCATTATTCAAGTAATTTCTAAAATTGGAGTTATCTTCCTTTGTCCATGATTATAGTTGAATCAACTACAATCAATGCTTTATACAATGCAATGTTTAATTTTGCCTTCCACTGATAAAACACAGATCAAGTTGAATTTGGGTAGTGTCACTTTAACCATTATTGAGTTATGCCCCTTTATAAATCGAAAGATTGCAAAATTTTTAGTTTCCATTCTGTAACTTAAGTTTTCCCCAACCAAACATTATGAAACCTATACACAATATTCATTACCTCAAAACTAAGATCAAGTACAAATTTTTTGTTTCTGTTTTCTGACTTTAGCTTGCCTCAACCAAATGTTATGAAACTTATACACAATGCTTATTACTACATAATACAGATTAAGTACAAAATTTGGTGGCGTCACTTTTACCATTCTTGAGTTATGTCCCTTTATAAACATAAAAATTGCTGAATTTTTCGTTTCCGTTCTCTAACTTTAGTTTGTCTCAACCAAATGTTATAAAACTTATACACAATGATTCTAGAGTTATGTGTGTTTACAAATAGAAAAAATGCTGAATTTTTAGTTTCTGTTCTCTACTTAAGTTAGCCTCAACCAAATGTTATGAGACTTACACACAATGCTTATTACCACAAAACTCAGATCAAGTTCAAATTTGGGAAGCGTCACTTTTATAGTTCTTCAGTTATGTCCCTTTATAACTATATGATATGCAAGCATCATCTGTGTCCACATGTGGACACAATCCACATTTTTTTTAAATGAATTAAAACAATTTTGATTTTTTTTCAGGAGTATGATGGTCATAGTGAAGTGCAGAAAGAATGGTCAGGCTCTAGACAGAAAACACACTTTTCGTAAGTTTTCTATGGTCTTGCTTAAATTGATCTGTTTTGGCTTCTTTTTTACGTCGTATATTGGTATGACGTTGGTGTCGTCGTCGTCCGAAGACACATTGGTTTTTCGCACTCTAACTTTAGTTTAAGTGAATGGATCTCTATGAAATTTTACCATAGGGTTCAATACCACAAAAGGAAGATTGGGATTGATTTTGGGGGTTATGGTACCAACAGTTAAGGAATTAAGGGCCAAAAAGGGGCCATAAATAAGCATTTTTGTAACTTCCAGCCATAACTTGTGTGTTAGTGTATGGATCTCTCTGACATTGTACCACAAGGTTCCATATCACAAAGGGAATGCTGGGATTGATTTTGGGGGTAATTGCCTCAAAATTTTAGGAATTAGGGGCCAAAAAAGGGGCAAAAAACAAGCATTTTTCTAGTTTCATGACAATAACTTGTGTGTAAGTGTATGGATCTTTCTGAAGTTGTACTACAAGGTTCCATATCACAAAGGGAAAGCTGGAATTGAGTTTGGGGGTAATTGCCCAAAACGTGTAGGAATAAGGGGCCAAAAATAAGCATTTTTCTAGTTTTCAGACAATAACTTGTGTTCAAGTGTATGGATCTCTCTGAAATTGTACTGCAAGGTACCATACGACAAAGGTAAGGCTGGGATTGAGTTTGGGGGTGATGAATCATAAGGGGTTAAAAAAATTTGGGGGGGGGGGGGGGGGGGGGTATTTTTTTTTCCTTTTTTTTTTCTTTAAAATTTTCCATTTTAAATTGGTTATTTCTGATTTATATATAAAAGCAAATAATAATGATATGGTTTGAGTAGGTAAATTAAAATTTTTTAAGTTCTTAGACCACATTCATTCTGTGTTAGAAACCTATGCTGTGTCAAATATTTAATCACAATCCAAATTCAGTGCTGTATCAAGCTTGAATGTTGTGTCCATATTTGCCCCAACTGTTCAGGGTTCGACCCCTGCGGTCGTATCAAGCTGCGCCCAGCGGAGCATTTTATTTTAGTTTCTGTTTAGTTTTATGCTCTTATGACGGTAAATGTGAACTATATAGATTTGTCCTGTGTATACATTTATCTAGGAATATTTTGAGTTTTGGGTTTTTATTCCTTTTCTTAAAAATCCATGATAGTATATTTATAGTAATACTGTCACAGCTATAATCCTTTTATCACAACATTTATCAACATTTAAATCTTTTATGTTTGCACAATATACTGTAAATAAATTGAAAAATTTCTATTCTTAGCTCCATTTTCAGAATTCAAAGATGATTTAACATAGTACATGTGTATGTCTTCTTTAAGACTTATAAACTTAGGGATAATAGTTACTTCATGCAGATTTGTTATTGCAGGTTTGATGTGTCCAAATCTGGTCCAATGACATTTTCCTGGGCTTTCCAGCGCTCTTATATTGGACACCTAAACTATGGACACGTGGCTGAAAATGACCTTGCTAGAATGTACAGTATCAAAATAACTAATTCACTGGACGGTGGTGCTGTAGGCTGTAAAAAATGTCCAAAGGGTGTGGTTGATAATAGGTAAGGAAAAAATATCCAAAGGGTGTGGTGGATAATAGGTAAGGAAAAAAAGTTCAAAGGGTGTGGTTGATAATAGGTAAGGAAAAAAGTCCAAAGGGTGAAGTTGTTAATAGATAAGGAAAAATTTTCAAAGGGTGTAGTCGATCATAGGTAAAGAAAAAATGTCCAAAGAATGTGGTTCATAATAGGTAAGGAAAAAGGTCCAAAGGGTGTGATTGATAATAGGTAAGGAAAATTTTTTAAAGGGTGTGGTCCATCATAGGTAAAGAAAAAATGTCCAAAGAATGTGGTCGATAATAGGTAAGGAAAAAATGTCCAAAGGGTGTGGTCGATAATAGGTAAGGAAAAAATGTCCAAAGGGTGTGGTCGATAATAGGTAAAGAAAAAATGTCCAAAGGGTGTGGGCGATAATAGGTAAAGAAAAAATGTCCAAATGTTAATATTGATAACATGTATGAAAATATCCAAAGAGTGGTTGCAAGTATGAGAGAAAAAGGCCCAGAGTGGTTTGATTGATAATAGCTATGAACAATTTTTCAGACTTTGACTGAAAATTAGTTTAAAAAAAGTGTTGAAAGAGGCCTAGTTGGTGAAACAAATAGAGCAGAAAAAAAATATAAATTCCTTTCAAATCATAAATTAATCTCTAATATATAAATAACACATAGCTGAGAGAGTGATAGAGCTGTTTTTTACCCCGGAGAAAAAATTGTCAACTGAGGCAAAGCCAAGGTTGACAATGTTTTTCCAAGGGGTACCAATCTGCTCTATCACTCTCTCCGCTATGTGTTATTTGATTTATTATGCTGAATATTGTATCATTATTGTCTTTGACTGATAAATTTTGAATTGTAAGTACATAACTGTGATGTCACTTACAAAACAACTTAACTGTTAAAAACAACAGAAGTGAAGCAAGATATTTTTTTTTATTTTGACAGTCTATAAAGTTCTGAGGCCAAACGTAGAACTTGAGCAATGTTTTTTATTTATTGAACAATTCATTGTTTTTTTAAATTATCGATTATTAATTGGTCTGCCGGAGAGGGTGACATTAAAAAAATTGTCTCCCATTGAGCCATGGGATAGAGTAAATTATCTCTCTCATATTAGCCAATCAAAATCTGGCATTCTAACGTAAAGTATAATAATTCAAAATGCCATATGATTTTGTATTTTGGTAAATAATTTATTATTATCGCATATTTGTTACAAAAACATTGGGTTTATCATATGTAATAAACACTGACTTGCCTAAGTCATATTGCTGCCCAGGAACAAATAACCGGGACCAATATGCGCTTCCCATGTAATCTTAATGGGAGAGCCATATTGGCCCTCTTCCAGTTTGGCAAGTCATGTACAATCTTTGGGACTTACTTGATTATAATGTAACCATGTTGTTTATAAAACTGTTTGAACAGCTCAGCATTCATAGAAATAAACTCATCTTTATTATTAAAGTGACATCCTATATTATGACGTCGTTGCTAGAAACAATACATCCTTGTTGATTGTCGGAGAAGACCAGATGTGGGTACTGGGTACAGGAATTATCGATTCGATAAAATGCAAAAAAAAAAAAAAAAATCAAAAAGAACAAACAAACACAAATTAAAAGCAAACAAATGAAATAAATACATATTTTTTATTTAATTGTTTATCTTCTCATTGAATAAGCTAAATATGTGATATACAGATCATTACATGGCATTTTCCATATCGGCTCTAGTATCATCCCTCGGTCCAATATGGGAGTCTTGGGCTGATACTAGGGCCCATATGGAAAATGCCATGTAATAATCTATAATTATCTAACCTTTCTTAAATTGCCTTCTATATCAGATAATATCTTCAATATAAAACATCTTTAGATGCCTAATATGATGGCACAATTTACCATTGGATTTATACTTTGATGATCTTCTTAGCTGTTCAGATTTCTGATATGTCAGATTTTGGGTTTGATTATAATATTTATTGTTGGCAGGTTGAACATCTAGAGGTCAACTGTCATCTTACTTGACTTGATCCATCACCTAAAGGAAAACCCTTCTTGCTTTGAGGTCAAATGTCAGGGTCAAATCGAACAGGCATACATGGACTACACTCAAAATTTTGATTTCCAAGTATAATCTTTTGAATCATACATTTAATCTTTATATGTCTAAACTTACCATCTACTGGTTTGGACATCAAATGGAACAGCCATTATTATTATTGCACTACTCACCCAGTCACATTATTCGCATTTATGGAAACCTCACAATAATTTTTGAATTTACAGTATTCAATAGCATCCTTTTGTCTCTCTCCTATCTGTTTGGCTCTATAGTTCCATTATTTCAAATATCACTTTTAAGTTCAAGGTTGATACTGGTTTCATGTCTGAGAACTTACTGTATATAATATGATAGCATGTTTTTTCTCTTCTCAGACAGGCCCTCACAGCTAGGTATTAAAAATTTACCACAATGTTATTAAGAAGCATATTTTTTATACATTAGTTTTTGTTATGTTACAAGATTGTTTAACATTTGATTACAGTTTCGTTGGACTGATTGGTATGGTGCTGTCATCATCATTATCTGTCTTTTGTTTTTAGTATCCATGTGAAAATTTTTAATTACTGTGGATTCATCATTATTCGTTGGATACTAATTTTTGTGGATTTGGTGGGTTTAGGTGAACCATGAATTTAAATGTACAACGAAATACAAATTTTCAATTAGCTTGTATGCAGACTTTGACAAAACCATGAAATCAAATATCCACGAAAATGCAATTTTCCCACAATCCACAAAATTTGTTCCTACGACAAAAAATGAATTGACAGTATTATTATTAGATATCTTAGGAATGTTTACTGTTTGTTGACATTTTGTATCAAACATGTGTTAGGGCTGTTTGAAAATTGACCTTGGCGGCACTCAAATTGATTAATTGTGTACTGTAGCATTTTCCTTAGAATTATGAAAGAATTTTAAGTGAAATGAATATTTCAATAAAATATGGAAGGGTGGGTCTAAAAAATGCCCCCCATGCATAAATTCTGGAACAGCCCTTAAGAATTATTCTGCAATTTATATGTGTTTGAAATGGTGTAAACTAGCTAAAGGTATGACTGAAAAATAGATCAGCAAAAGCTGTATGTAATCAAAAGAAAAGGAACTGATAAAGAGAGATAAAGGGAGTAGATTGATATTTATAAATACCTCTTAAAGCTGTGTAGTAGGGACATAATTCAACAGTTTGATTCCCTTATATTAACTTATATTTTCTACCAGGGAATTATTTATTGAATTTTGCATTAATAACTCTCAATTTTCTTTTCACACAGATATTAATACAGTATCTCTTTTGCCACATATTACAGAAAACTCTATAAATTCCATAGGTTTTTTTTTTAAAGCACAGTTATTCTTCATTTTCCAGGTGTGTTCCCTGTCCAGCTGGTCACTACATTGATGTACACAGCAACTCTACAACTTGTGAAGCTTGTCCTCCAAATACGATCATCAGGAGAACTAATGCATGGGGAAAAGATAATTGTGTGGAATGTGGTCAGGGTCTTAAGGCTTCGGCAGCAGGAGATAAGTGTGTCACTGATTGTACATTTACTGACACGTCTGGCAGACTCTATGACTTCACCAAGTTAAACAAGTATGTTATTATAGCTGATATTTGTATTGCACGGTGATGTTTCAGTGGAAATTTGTTAATCATTAGTAACAGGCTGTCCCTGACAGAACTTAAACACAAAAAGCAAATTTCACATTCTCTCTTAACTTAGCTAATATACAAATCTGTTGACATTAGAATGAATTACTTTGGAGCGTTAAATGAACCTCACATAAGCCTTTCTTCTGAATTTGAAATTTTAGAAATGTTGTGTTATTGGGTTTTTTTTTTTACTTTAAGTTGAAATTTAATTTCCTTAAATACTCTCTTTTCCTTGATAATGTTATATGGTCTTTGTTAGCAGAACTGATAAATGTGAATAATTTCATAATGACCATTGAAATAAAATAATTTAAAACTAGATACTTATCTTGTATATTTAAGTTCTCTGTATGCTTAATGAAATGAGATATTAAGCATATTTACATTATTAGGATAACATTCATAAAGAAAAGTATTCAGTTAACTTATTATTATAATATTTGTAAAGGGAAGTAATCTGTTTACTTTTTAGGATAAAATTTGTAAAGTGAAGTTATCTTTACTGTGTAGGGAAACAGTTGTAAAGATAAGTAATCTGTTTACTTTTTAGGATAAAGTTTGTAAAGGGAAGTAATCTGTTTACTGGATCTGGAACTAAATATTACCATGGATTTAACATCAGCCTGTGTGGAGGAGACAAGATGGTCACATGTACACAAAATGTTTCATCACCTGAAAAGTCAACATCAGAAGTAAGAATGGTTACTTTTGTGAAAGTTGCTGTTTCAAAGCTTTCATTTTACTAGTAATGCAATATTCCAAAAACCAATGTTTTGAAGATTGGTGATATTGCATGGAAGTTCTGTCATATAACATCTTTTTACCCTTGTTCGTCCTTCGTCCGTCTATACATCCCAAAATTGGTTTCTGTTCTCTAACTTTAGTTTGCCTCAACCAAATGTTATGAAACTTATACACAATGCTTATTAATACAAAACACAGATCAAGTTTGAATGTTGGTGGCATCACTTTTACCGTTCTAGAGTTATGCCCCTTTACAAACGGAAAAATTGCGGAATTTTTCGTTTCCGTTCTTGAGTTATGTCCCTTTATAATGTTATATGTAAGCGGGGGCATCATCTGTGTCCCATTGACACATTCCCCATTTATTTCAACATATTTCACCACAAAAATGGTAACAAATTAGATACTACATCAAAAGCGCAATCAAACTGAAATCTGAAATTTATGTGGCAACAATATATCAAATTTTAAGAAAAATCTGTGTTAATTAAACTTGACGGTTACATTATGATAGATTCTATGTTCACCAGGGAAATTAAAATTTCACCTTCAGTTTCTTGTTTTTGCTAGTGGTTTAGACTAAGGTTTTTTTTTTTCTTTCAGAGTAAATTTTCTGAATCAGCTCCAGTAAAGGGAGTGGTTTGTAGATCTACAATTATACCTTCCACTGATCAACAGAAATCACTCTCTACTCAGCCTACCAGGTAGGTTCTTGTGTCTTGCCTATGAGGAATGTTGTGGGATGGATGGATGGATGTATTGGTATTTAAAGTCCAGTGACAAATCTTACATGCATTTAAGGCCAAGAACATACTGTGTATTTGACACATATGTTTGACCTCTTTTTTTGATATGCTCATTTTTAGCTCACCGGGGCCCAAAGGGCCCCATGTGAGCTGATGCCATCACTTGGCGTCCGTCGTCGTTGTCTGTCGTCTTCGTCGTTGTCGTCTGTCGTCGTAAACTATTTAAAAAATCTTCTCCTCTTAAACTACTGGGCCAAATACCTTCAAACTTTAACTAAATGTTCCTTAGGGTATATTGTTTATAAATTGTATCCGAAGTTTTGATCCATCGACAAACATGGCCGCCATGGCTAAAAATAGAACACAGGGGTCAAATGCAGTTTTTGGCTTATATCTCAAAAACTAAAGCTTTGAGAGCAAATCTGACATGGGGTAGTTCAGTTGGTCAAGATCTATCAGCTGTAAAATTTTCAGACGAATCAAACAACCCATTGTTGGGTTGCTGCCACCGAATTGGTAGTTTTAACAAAATTTCGCAGTTTTTATTATTTTGAATATTATTATAGATATATATAAACTGTAAGCAGCAATAATGTTCAGCAAAGTAAGATCTACAAGAAAGTTAATATGACCATAATTGTCAATCGACCCCTTAAAGAGTTATTGCCCTTTAAAGACAATTTTACACAATTTGTTCATCAAGTTTTCTAACATTTAAAAATCTTCTCCTCTGAAATGCAGGTGAGCAAGTCAGGCTCTTGAGAGCCTCTTGTTAAGTCTGGCTTGTCCCAGTCAGGGGTTGATCCAAGGTTGTCCCATGTTCACAGTAAGTACACAACCAGAAGATCACCAAGGTGGTACAAATGTTGTGGGATGCCAAGTGTTACTTTTCAGATGTTGTCAAAGCAAGATTGAAAATTTTGTGATTAGATACATTTCAGAGTTGGCAAGTCCGTGTAATCTGTCCCACCATTTAGTCATACTTCAGTCCCTGGAATTTTTCTGTATATTCAGAAATTTTTGCATGCATTTATTATTGCGATATTTGAACAATGGACAAAAATTAGAAATTAAATATTGCGATTTCGTGAATTGCTACCAAACCTAAAATCCTAAGTTTTTATTTTTCAGGGGTTAAAAAATCCACTAGCCCGACGCCCAGGACTAGATTTTTACAATTCGGGCAATTAAAACTTGTAACCGAATATGCCCGACGGACTAGTAACTGTAAAGATTGTTCTCAATCTTTCTTACAATACCTTTAGTCTGTAGATATTTATTCTATTCAATAGCTTTTCGAAATACATTAGCCAGGTTTTCTAAATAAAATAACAACTAAACTACTATTTCAAAAAATAGAAATTATTGTTATTACTATAAATTACTACAAAGAATGAAAGTACAATATATTTAACGGTTTTCTGTGATTTTCGTGCGTGAAGTATTTACCTATTAAGTTTCTGTAAAGATGAGTTCAAATTCGTTTTGCTATTCGGAAAATCCCCTTTTTATAATACTTATCACGCCTTATCCTTGCGCGTAAGAAAATAGGTCGCTACTGGTCAAGGTTAATCATATAAATCACTGTCAATACATACGTAAATATTGGATTATAAAGAAAGCAATCACGATTTCATACGTCTCGACACCGATTTATCAATATAAAGCATATAAATACAAGTAACTAAAGAAATGTAGGATTAATAACAAGTTAGAAAACAAAGATGTTATTCGAATGCCACATGTTGGCGGAATTTCGTAACGCTAAATCGGCAACTGCCAATTTTGCCGGGAACGACGTTACGTTAACACAAATGTAAAACCGCGTTATTGAATGTTTACAACACTGCCCTCCGTCAAAATAGAATTTCGTCTCGAAATTTAAATAATTGCGAAATATTAAATCATTAGATACAATTAAACAAAATCTAATCAAGCACCTGCTATCTCAATAGAATATTAAAATTAAGAAAATTTGTTTTTGTCAATGTTGACTAGATCACGAATATATCACAATTCTTGACACGTATAATAATAAAAGTGTACCAATGATATATAAAACAATATACATATAAATAATGTCAACAATTTTGTAGTTTTGTGTCTTTCAATATAATAAATAAACTGTTTATAAAATTTTCAATGTTTTCTTTGTCCAACAACTTCACTGTATTATTGGTTCGTCTCTTTTTGTCTTTCTTTCTGTATCCTCTTCTGTTCTTTTTTTTTCTTTATGTGTCCTCTTCTGTTCTTTTCTCTTTCTGTGTCCTCTTCTGCTCTTTTCTTCCTTTTTCTCCAATCTTTTTGTGTGTCTTGAGTTACCTGTTTTTCATTCTCATGTTCTTTCTTAGTTTGGTCTAAATCTGTTTCACGGAAACTTTCTTTCAGTTGACTTATTTTTTCCACCTGACAGAACAAGTTTCCATCCTCTTTTTTAACTGAAACATTTACAATTTCTTCCGTAACTGGAATATTTTGATTTTCTTCTGTTACTGGAACATTCACAATTTCTTCTGTAAAATTTACATTTTCTTCTGTAACATTTACAGTTTCTTCTGTAAAATTTATATTTTCCTCTGTAACATTTTCATTTTCTTCTGTAACATTAACGTTTTCTTCTGTAACATTAACAATTTCTTCTGTAACATTAACATTTTCTCCTTTAACATTTACATTTTCTTCTTTAACATTTACATTTTCTTTTGTAATATTAACGTTTTCTTCTGTAACATTTACATTTTCTTCTGTAACATTAACATTTTCTTCTGTAACATTAACGTTTTCTTCTGTAACATTTACATTTTCTCCTTTAACATTTACATTTTCTTCTGTAACATTTACATTTTCTTCTGTAATATTAACATTTTCTTCTGTAACATTAACGTTTTCTTCTGTAACATTTACATTGTCTCCTTTAATATTTACATTTTCTTCTGTAACATTTACATTTTCTTCTTGCAAGAGCTCAGGCAACATCTGGACATCGACTCTGTCCGTCTGTGTACCCTTATAACTTGTACTGGTAATATTTCCTATATGTACATGTACATGCATGTCCTGCGTGCTTGCTACCATGGGTTTTCTGTCATCGGCCATTACCGGCTCTACCATTGAATCTCTGATTGACAGGAACTCACTTCTTTCCGCTTCTTTGTCAACGATAAGCCCAGAATTGGTGTCCTTTACTCCGACTCTGGCTTCTCTATCAGTTTGTCTCTTAGTCTCACATTCAATCCGCTGACCATTAAACTGTAAGCCTTGCATAGGATTGATTGTGATATTCATTTCATCAATTAGGTCACAACCTAATAACATGTTATCTCCAATGGGTGCTACATAAACTGGCCATTTGAAGGTTTCACTTCCCAGATTAACTTCCACCTCTGTAATCCCTCTTGTTGTCAAGTTCTTACCGGCCTCAGCAACTACCAAATTTCTTGCTGCTCTCCTTAGTTTTGGCCGTTTACTCCCAGGAATCTGATTATACAACTTCTCACTTAGAACCGTCACCTCTGCTCCAGTGTCAATAACTGCATTCGTCACAATCTTGTTAATGACCACTGGAACTGTAATGCTAGCTGCTGTCACCCGAGCAATGAAAATATGTCCTTCTATCCCGTTGATCGGTTCTGCACTACCCATTACCTCCTTTGGTGTGTTCTCTGGTGTGTTCTGTTGTATCTCCTTAGACTCCTCAAAAAACATCTCTAGGCTTAAATCTAGGTCCCGTATATCTAGGCTATCTTCTTCAAATGATCTCTTTATATAAGCTGTATTCACTGATTTTTTCGGTTCAACCAAATGCTCTTTCATTTGGCAATGTTTCTCTTCATATTTCAAATTATTCTCTTTAACTTTTTCTTTACCATGTTTAGGGGCTGACACTTGGTCGATAGTCTCAACCCTTAGCAGTTTAAAGACTCTTCATTTTGGTTTTGACTCCTTTCATTATTCCTTATAAAACCACTTCTGTTTTCTTTATGATAGGGGCTTCTCTTTTCTTTTGGACAATTTCTTATGTAATGGCCTTCCTCATTACAGTTAAAGCATCTGGAATTCTTCATCTTGGTCGTATGGTCTTTATACACTTGCTTATTTTGCCCTGGACTACTGTCATACTCCTGTTGTGTATAGTACTTTGCCATTTCTCTTTTAATGGTTGTCTCTAGTGACTCCGAAATTCCTCTTTCAAACTGAGTCATTCTTTCTTCTGTAACAAATCTTTTCCCTCCTACTTTTCTGACCTCTATATCTTCGGACCCGCAATCATTTCTATAAATGTCCTCTGTTGTACCAAGCTGACGGATGTTTCTATCTCTTGTACCTCTCTTATATGTTTCATACAGGGTAACTTGGTGTATTGCCTCTGTTTAATGGTTATCCTTTTTGTCAGTAGCTCAATAGCAATACTCTGGTCCGGCAATCCTCTAAGCATATACTCCACACTGAGTGTACTGTGTGTTGCTGTGTCAATTGTGGGGAAAGACTTCCTGACCAACATCTCGACCCTTGAAGCATACTCCTGAATTGTTTCTCTATCATACTTTCTCAGAGTATGAAGCTCTTGCCTGTATGTTTCCGGGTACCCATGATCTCCAAATCTATTTGACATGGCTGCACAAAGTGCTGAAAATGATCTTTTTGTCTCTGGTGTAAGAAATGAAGCATATACCATTGCTTCATCTTTGAGTCCAATTGTTCATTTCCGCAATCAGTTCAAATTGCATCACATATGCGTTCCATGGATCCTTTCCGTTATAGAATGGCACTCTTGTTCTGCGTCCATTATCATTAAATCTTGGAACTTCTGATGTATTGATATACTGTGGTCCACTGGGATGCTGCATTGGTAACAAGTCTGGCTCTGTGATTGGTTGATACTGTTGGAAATTTCTATTTTGAACTGGATATTGTGAAAAATTACTGTTCGGGGCTTGATTTTGTATATATCGGCTATT